ATCATGGAAGTCAGTTTTTTCTATTATTCTTGGAGGAGTTAACATTTTTTAAAAGTTAAATTAAGATCTCTAACAAAATACATTATAACAATTTTACCTTTGTCAAAATTCAATTAATAAAAAAGAAATGATTGTTCTGTTCTCTTCTACAAAGCCTGTTAAAAAACACCAACTCAAACAAAGTTGATCTTGTTGGATTACAGAAATAATATGAAGTTTTATGCTAAGCTCATTTTCAGCTCTGGAAAAAAAAAAAATGAAGGGACTTCCCTGGTGGCGCAGTGGTTAAGAATCCGCCTGCCAATGCAGGGGATATGGGTTCGAGCCCTGGTCCGGGAAGATCCCACATGCTGCGGAGTAACTAAGCCCGTGTGCCACAATTACTGAGCCTGTGCTCTAGAGCCTGCGAGCCACAACTACTGAGCCTGTGTGCCACAACTACTGAAGCCTGCGCACCTGGAGCCTGTGCTCCACAACGAGAAGCCACTGCAATGAGAAGCCCGCACATCGCAACGAAGAGTACCCCCGCTCACCACAACTAGAGAAAGCCCAAGCACAGCAACAACGACCCAACACAGCCATAAATAAATAAATAATAAATTAATTTATAAAAAAAAAGAAAAAAAAATTACCCAAACAAATATTCACCAAATTTCAAATCTGACTTTTTGACAAATGTTTGTGAAAAGATGATACTGAGGTATTGGAAGACAAGCCCCAGTTTTTAACTAATACTTATATTCCAAATACTTTAAGTATTTTAAGACTGCATAAGGCTAGACAAATTTTATTTGAGTTTAACTCTTCTAATATTTAGAAGAAAAATAATTAAAAATTAGTTAGGGGCTTCCCTGGTGGCGCAGTGGTTGAGAGTCCGCCTGCTGATGCAGGGGACACGGGTTCGTGCCCTGGTCCGGGAGGATCCCACATGCTGCGGAGCGGCTGGACCCGTGAGCCATGGCCGCTGAGCCTGCGCGTCCCGAGCCTGTGCTCCACAACGGGAGAGGCCACAACAGTGAGAGGCCCGCATACCGCAAAAAAAAAAAAGTCAGTAGTTCAGTCCTCTTAGTATATTTTTTGTTCTCTGCAGGCAATCAAGGAGTGGCAGTAAAGGAATATCTTTTTTATGGTGCTTGGAAAGTAAAGATCTGTCCATAGGAAAGCAGTTTATAGACACACACACACAAACAGGTACTCAGACATGTCATATACATTCTTCTAGTCTTTCCAAATCTCAGAGAAAACTTATCAGGATTCTTATATTTTGCTAAGAGAAAAGACCTATTAAAAAGATCTGAGGGGAATATATGAAGAATAAATAGTTCTTTCCTAAGTAAAAGAGAAGTTAAGAATGAATGAATGGATACTTCAAAAATATTTGTTGAGGGAGTTCTCTGGTGGTCTAGTAGTTAGGATTCGGCACTTTCACTGCTGTGGCCCAGGTTCAATCCCTGGTCAGGGAACTGAGATCCTGCAAGCCACATGGCATGGCCAAAAAACAAAATTGTTGAAAATTAATTAATACCTAGAATATTCATGATACTGCTAGGCCCATCACAAAAGATGGGGGTAGAATCTTAACTTCCCCTGAAGTCTTGCCCTGCGTGGATCCCAAACTACTGCAACTCCTTCTCCTCCTCCTTTCTCAGGATCATTTGTTTGCACTGACTTCATCTTCACCTCTAGCCACTTCTCTTCCCAGTACTTCCCCCTAATATTTTCTACTCTAGGTCCTCCATTGTTCGCAGATTTCTTGGGCATACAAGAATAATTACTGGAAAACAGAGCATTCAACCCATGTCGAAAAAGACTTTCAGTATAGGGAGCTACAGTGAAAGGACAGGGACCTGTGGGCTCAATCTTGAAGAATAGACAGTCATAAGACTGACTTTGGGAAAAAGAGGCAAGAGCATTCTAGAGAGAAAACATAGTAATGGCTTGGAACTAGAAATGAGCACTGCATGTTCTGAGAGAGCCAGCAAGGACAGTTTAACTTACACCATTAAAGAGGAGAGTTTCTGGGAGAAGTAGATTAGAGGGGGACTGGGTAGGACAGGGTCTTCAATATAATGATTTGATAGTAATAATAACAAGTAATACTGCTAAGATTTATTGAGTACTTCTATATGCTAGCCACTATGCCTAATGCCCTACATGTAATATGTTGTTTATTCCTCACAGCAAACCTATAAGGTAGTAATCATGTTCCTAATTTTGCAGCGAGGAAACTGAGCCTTACAGAAGTTAAAGAACTATTCCCAAATCACTCAAATAGGAACTTCAGGTGCCAGGATGTAAATCCAATTTGACCAATTGCAATGTATGCTTCTTTTCCACTGTTTCTACAGGGAGTGGTAGATTAATTTCTAGTGGTATATATGAGTGGTAGAACCTGTAGGCTAAAAGGGGAAGTTAATGATGTACAATTTGAGTTAAAAAAAACAATAACAGGTGGTAAAAAGAAGAAAAACTTTTGTACTAAAGGGCCAACAACAATTTACACTTCATTAAGATTCTTTTCTTTTGTATAAAGCATGCTCAAGATTTAATTTAAAAAAATTATTTATTTATTTGTTTGTTTGGCTGTGCTGGGTCTTAGTTGTGGCATGCAGGATCTTTGCTGCTGCGTGCGGGATCTTGAGTTGTGGCATGTGACCTCTTAGTTGTGGCACGTGAGATCTAGTTCCCTGACCAGGGATTGAACCCGGGCCCCGTGCATTGGGAGCACGGAGTCTCAGCCACTGGACCACCAGGGAAGTCTCTAAAGATTTAATTTTAAAAGTCACTAAAAACTAGAAACAAACCTAAATTATAAGTATTCTTAAATAATTTATGCCATGTAATGAATATTATGTAGCTGTGAAAAAATATTTTTGAAGCATTTTTAATAACATGAAAAATCACTTAGACTATAGTAAGGGGATAATTATAATAAGCCTATCATTGAGAAATAAGGGGATAAGTTATGACGTTAATGAAAAATAGTAAAAAATTAAAAAAAATGGAAGAAAATATGTAAAAATGACAGAAATAATTACACCTGGGTAGAAGAAGAACAGGCGGTTTATTTTCTTTGTATATTTTTCCTATAGAGTATTTCAAATTTACCATAATGGGCATGTTACTTGAACCTCTCACTGTCGTGGCCTCTCCCGTTGCGGAGCACAGGCTCCAGATGCGCAGGGGCTCAGCAGCCATGGCTCACAGGCCTAGCCGCTCCACAGCATGTGGGATCTTCCTGGACCGGGGCACGAACCCATGTCCCCTGCATCAGCAGGCGGACTCTCAACCACTGAGCCACCAGGGAAGCCCCCACATGTTACTTTTAAAATCAGAAAAAAAGTAGTAACTAGCAACATGAGAGATCTCTTTTAACTTCCTTTTCATCCAATGACATCTTCCTTCTTTCTTAACTCTTTTCCCCTCTTCACTCTGTCCAGTTTTAGCCCAGTATTTCAGGTGGAAATGGGCATGCTCACTCATATATCTATACGTTTGATGGTCTTTGCACAAGTGGCAATACTGCACAGAAGGGTACCAGGCTAATACTTGTTTCTCAAAGGAATTTAGGATCTTGGCTAAGCACATAGGTTTTGAAGTTATACAGATCTGAGTTTGAATTATACTCTTGTAATTTATTCACTATGTGACCTGAGGCAAGTTTCTTAACCTGAGGTTAATTTTCTAATATGAAAAAATATTTTCCTCATACAGGGTTATTACAATTTAGTAAGCTAATACATGGAATATACCTGGCAGAGAGAAAAAAATTCAATAAAAGGTAGTTATTACTTGGGGGAAGTGCTGTAACCTTCATGTTACACAAACTAGATTCATATATTTGTCCAAACCAGGCTAAATACGTCCTCAAAAGTAGAGTGGCAATAATACGTTCCATTTCTACATCCTAAAGGGATCTGCATGGTTAAAGCCTCTCTAAAATTGAAACCCATTTCCTTCACTGCACTTGAATATTTTGTTATTTTACTTGTTTATTTTCTGTTTCCCTCATAAGACTCTTAAGCTCCATAACTGAGTGTGTTAGTTCCTCTCATAAATCCAGACACTGGTATAGTACATGGTAATGGTTGGTCCTCAATAAATGTTTGTTGAACAGATAAAACTTCATATTCTCCCAACTGCAAACCTTGTATCTCTGTTTCTGCAAATATATTGAATATTTTGGAATACTTAAGTATTGCCAGTGGAAAAGAGAAACTAAAGGTGACAAGCATTTCCAGTCCACCATAGTACCACAGCTGTCATTTATTTTCCTCTGACCCATCTAGCTAAGCTTAGAAAGAGAGGCCTAGTTTTGCAGAGTCTCTCAACACGAGCACTCCAATCAGGACACAGAAACAACATACTGTGTGGTACTCCTTTCCAATTTCACATTTCAGAAAAATGGCCACTCTAAGCAGTAACTTGACATCCTTGGAATTGCTGGAGTGCGCTGAAAAGTACAGTAGCACTTCCTAAGCATACCACCGCGACCCCCCAAAAAGAAAAAAAATTCCTGCAATTAAAAGCAAAAACCTAAACATTAAGTCCTTATTTCTCATCTAAAAAAGCTGAATCATAATATCTCTCCAATGGGAGTATTGTGAGGATTAATGGAAATGGGGCATGGAAAGCATTGAACACAATAGTTAAGTACGAAATAAACAGTAGCCATTGTTAAAACACAATCCTGAAGTGAATATCATGCAGAGGGGCATGAACATATCCTCATGTGTGAATTAAGTTTTGAACAGCAAAACTGCTTAGGTAACTTGAGTTTCATATTAAGATTACACTGCATTGCCTTTCTGTTTTAATTCTCATTTGTATGAAATTTTATTAAGTAAAAAAAAGTTAAAAACCTTTTTATAATTGCATTTTAATTTAATTCCTGCAATTTTATAACTTAAATGGAATTTTACTTTATTTTGTATGACAGAAAGTTATCAAAAGCCAAACTAAATTATTAAAAATGTTCTTTAAAAAACTATGTATTTTACCTGGCCATTTCCAAGCAGAGATGTATCTTTCCCTATCAGAAAATAGGATCCAAAAAAGAAAATAAAGGCATGACTGAAACCCAAGATGGTCCAATAAAGAAATGTTTTCATGCTTAGTTGACGGTTTTTACTAATGTCTCTGCAAATTTAAGAAAAAGGAAGAAAAAAAGAAATGTATTAGGACTTATTATACCTACTAAATAATTATTACAGTTTGATAATTAAAAAACAAGATGGATTTTTAATTTAAAATTGCTTAAAAATTTTAGCAGAAAGAATAGAACCTAATTTACAAACCACTATACATCTGTGTAACAGCTTATAATTCTCATAACATATTCAAATACATTTTCTCATTTAATAAAGAAATATGATATAGGCATAATACTTCAGTTTAATTGTGAAAAGTTGATTTTTCTTTGTTATATTCTTTTTTTTTTTTTTGGCTGCGCCTCATGGCTTGTGGGATCTTAGTTCTCCAACCAGGGATCGAACCTGGGCCCCAGAGCAGTGAAAGCCTGGAATCCTAACCACTGGACCACCAGGGAATTCCCTCTTTATTATATTCTGTTGTAAACATTCAGTCATTCTGCCATGATTGTTTCTTTTTAGTGAAGTCATCTGAGTTAGGTTCAGCACTGAGGCTCCTGAATGAGTTCCTGTCTATCAATAGCTATTATGAGAAGAACCATCTGTGCCAATCTTGGGTCAAGACCAGTCCTAGTTAACCTGGGAAATCAAGGTAAGTTACTGCCATTTCTGGATAACTGAATATCTCTGTAAGTGTAGAGGTCAAGTTAATGTGGGAACCATAAGCTGGTCCTGAGCTGACTCCACATATCTATGATTACTTGGTTCTGAGAAAGGAATAACCCAGGGGAGCTGGGAAGATTTAATGTCCTCAACTCTGCATTTTGCATCAATTACTACTCATAAATTTGGCAGTGCCAGAACATGAACTAATTTCTTAGGAACTCCAGAGACAACTAATTACTGAATAACTTCTTTTGTGTCCATGAAACAGAGTATTACTGGTTTACAGCAGTAAGTGTAAATTACACAGCTGCTCAATGCATTCCTAGGATGAAACTACTCATTCCTAAAAACATTGGAAAAAATCATTCAAATCTTCTCTTTAATGTTCAACAATTATAAACCATATGACAACTGAAGTACTTCCTCAGTAAAGCATTAAGCACCAAGACAGTGCTTGATATATCTGCTTATTTTTAAGATACTTTCAAAAATTGATAACTATGTAATGTACTATTTGCAGTAAGAAGTGTATGGACATTTAATACTGGAAAACACTTACCGATAGAGAGCGGGCTTGTTCTGTAACACATGAGGGTCTATATGCTGTTCCAACAGACTATATATCAGAATAGGCAGGGATGTAAAACAAATATTGTATAAAGTCAGGTACACGCTGTCATACAATGTCTAGAAAGAGAAATTTGTAGGAATTTTGAGACCCTAAACTATGTATTACTATTATACTTATGCATGTAATTACAAAGAAGCATATTAAAAATAAATATAAAAATTACATTACATATTTTCTAATTTACACAAAATTCATTTTATTAATTCCAACTTGTTTCTTATATAGACATAATGTTCCTAGATTTATAATCTTTGTGGAATCTGGAACATTTTGTTATGTCAAGTGATTCTGCTATTATAGTGAATTGGATCTATATTTCAAGATACTCAAATTTGGTCGCTGTGATGTAATTTTAGACAATTCTCCTACATGTATCCTGGGCTTGTTATTATTCCCTTGATATGCTACACCTATAGTTTTGCTTTCATGGCTTTGTCTTCCCATCTAAGTCCTACACTTCCTTTAATCCATGATCCATGAAACTTAAAAACACTGGCTCAAATTCCTGATGATAGCTGCTTCTTCTAAAGTCATATGTGCTACTGTTGGTAATTAGTTGGTACTAATTGCTTAGCACTTTGCCTATTCTTTGAATATTGCTTTTCTTAATATTGATACTGTCTCTCGAATTATACTATAAACTCCCCCAAAACCTAATCAAAATAGGTTAAGTCTCCTTGTCACATGCTCTTACAGCATTCTTTATTTCATCCAAGTAAGCAAACATTGTTACTGGCAATCAATGTCCAAGCAGGTATCTGAAATTTAGAGTTATAGGTTGTAAACAGAGGAGAAAACAGTGATTAAGGGTAGAAACAACTCATTAAAAAAACCTAAGAATAATACACTTGTCATTTCAATAAACTAGAATAAATGTCTTGATCAATTAGAGATGTGGAGTGTGGTATGTGAAAAGGGTGCTCAGGTAGTCAGTCAGAAGCGGTAGGTCCAAGTATGGTTTAGCTATGGGATCTTGGGCAAGTTACTTAATCTCTACGGATTTCAATTTCCTTTTCTATGTGACATGTATACAACAGAAGACCCACCATGTGCTTATTATAGCTACTGCTAACCTATTACAGAGTTTTCCCTCTGAGCCTATAGCTTCAGAACCCTTTTCAATACAGCACTCCTGGAACCTCTATTAATTATTTACCTTCTGAGATGAAATCTGTATGTCATCCCTGGACTCAATCACTAATGTTTCTTCCAAATCTAAAAAAATTCTATGACTCAAAAAATAAACAATGAGGTAAACTTCCAATAATTATCTGGCCTGGCTTGATATGGATTTTGCAGAAACACTACACGTAAGTTGAAAAAAGTTCACAAAATTCTCTCATAAGCTATTAAGAGTTAATATCTAGTTTTTTAAAAAGCATCCAGAGTTAAAATATATTTTGGTATTAACACTTGCTTCAAACTGAAAATCAGAATAAAGAAATATTATGGATGTTATGCTAATTAAATACACTATTAGAAAAGTTTTGTCTAGTTATCTGTAGGACTAGGAAAAATGGAAAAAGTCCCTCCAAGTATCTACCAAAAACTGAACACACACACTTTACTTTAAAAGGATAAAACAAAAGATTCTATTTACTTACCTGTTGAGAAAACAAACAGTAGAACTGATATAAAAACTGGGGTGTGATAAAGCACACATTCTGAAAAACAAGATTAAATGGAAATAATTGAAATATTTAGGTCTAAAAGAGAAACAATTTCTAAAAATGGCTATTAAGAGTCCAAAAATATAGTATCAGTTGATATGGTAAGTAGATCTGCCCATAAGAACTTGTCTGTATAAAATGGGGAAATAGGATTCCCATTTTATTAAAAAATGTCTAAAAGTAGTCTAGGCAGCATTACAAATGTCAGAAAGAAAATACCTTTGACTCCTATCATTGCCAAGCAATACCGTAATTTTGAATTTATAACCTACCAACTATTATTCAATACTTTTCATTTATAGTACAATAAGAGAAGTTTACTTAAACTTTAGAGCTAAAATTGCTTTAAAATGCAGAAATATTTAAAATACAACAAATGGAACGATCAAAACATCTTTCCATTTCAATAGGCTTATGTCACAGCAAAAGTTATAATAACAAGCTAGGAAAAAACTGCCACCATCATCTGTTAGCATTATGCAATCTACCTGTGTTCTTTCACTGGGTTGCAGCTATTAATTAATTATAGAAATATATGCAATATAGGACATTCTGATGTATTAAATGTCTTGGTACTCAGAGGCTCTTAATATGGATTCCACAGAACCCCATCTTTGCCCATAAGGGTCAAGAGATTAGGACAGTGTTTCAACATAATTGGTTTCCTTGTAATCCTATATATTTTATTTTATGCATCTAAAATCCCTATAATTTGTAATCTCAAGAAAGATTAAGAACCTCTGCTTGAAATCATCATATTGGAGTTAAAATTAAAATTTATTACTGGTTCAGGACAACATAACAATAAAGAAATCAAACTAGTTGTGTTCTAATTTGCATAGAATAACATACTAAGTGTGAATTTTGATGTATTCTGACAAATTCACACAGCTGTGTAACCACCACCATAATCAAGTTGAACTTTTCTGTCATGCAAAGTTCTCTCATATTCCTTTCTAGTCAATTCTATCACCTGCACCCTTGGCCTCAGGCAACCACTGATTTGCTTTCTGTGAGTACACATTAGATTTATTATAATAAAATAATAAAAGGATATTCCATAAACTGTTAGTTTTACTTACAGAGAAAAAAATTTTAAGAATAATTTGTACGGTAATAGCATTCCTTAAACTGAAACCTCAAATACTCTGTTAGAAATTGATTCTAAAATATATCCATGAAACTTACCTTATAAAAAAAATACTGTACAAGGGTAGCTATCCTAATATAATAAAAATGACCATGAACAAAAAGCAATTTGGAGAGAAATTTAAATCTAGCTATTGCATAGTCACTGTTCCTTGCAGCTTGTCTTCCTTCTTTACCCATGATTCCTGTAATAAGGGGACAAAAAGGTAAGTTCATTGATAACTGATAAGTGTAATGTTTATGATATATCTGCAAATACCTTAATTAACTGTAGCAGCTGAACCTGGACTTAGGATCACTATACCCTAAAATATAGTAGACAATAGATTCCCAAAAGGTTGCTCCCCTTAAATCAAATATGTAATTAACACAAAGCTGTAACTTATACCAGGCATGCAATATCAATTTTCAAAGAATCAGAATAAAATTAATATAAAAATAATATTAAAAGTTCAGGATCTAAGAACATTAAAAAAAATTCTAATGAAGAGAATGCTATAAAACAGCTTTGACTTCACTGTTTCCAATTAACATGAAAAATATGCAAATTGAGTAATTTGAACCAAGCAAATATGATCATGTTTAATGGTCTTAAAACTTTCATGCGTAAGTCAAACACAGTGTGCTTTTTAAAAGGAAAATGTACACTATTACTTGAAATCAGTACATAATTTTATCTGATAAATATGAGAACTTTTTTTTAGGTTACTATAATTCTTTAGGTTTCAAAAGTTATTGCCAAATTTGTTTATTCAATATGGAAGCAGCTTTGAAAAAATTATTTTTCAAAATTAAAATTTTTTACTTTTGTCATAAAAGTGTTCCAAAATGTATAGGTAAAGACAATCACCTATATTCGCAACTCCTAGAGAAAACCACTATTTTTGGTCTATATACTTTTAGAATTTTTCCTTATGTGTATTTCATGTATGTGTATTTAACATATATAAAAACCAGTGCATAAAGATGGGATTATTTGTTTTGTAATCAGCTTTTGTCACTTACTACATTATGGACATTGTTTATAACATATGTGTTTGTTAACATATTCATTTATTTTCTTAAAAGAAATTCCTGGATGCAAAATTGCTAGGTCAATAGGCACACATTTAAAATTGTTATACATAATAATGCAGGTGTACCAATTTACATTCCCACTAACACCGTATAAGGGCATCTGTTAATCTATACCTTTGTCAATTCCAGGTTTTATCAATCTTTGTAATTTTTGCCAATCTGATAAGCAATTTTAATTTATATTCTTTTAATTATTAGGGAGACAACATTTTTTTCGTGCATTTAGTATTCTGTTTAGATTTCTCCTTTTGTGACAACTGATGGCTCACACCTTTCAACATATTTCTACTAGAATGTTTTCCTTATTCTCCTTAATTTGTTAAGACCTCACATATTAGGAAGATTAAGACTGTCATCTATTTTGCAAATATTCCTTACCAGTTTGTCTTTAAAATTTGTTTATGGGAAGTATTTACTTCTGCCACACATATTGATCTTTTTCCTTTTTAGTTCCTTGTTTTGTTTGGTTTTGTACCTAAAAGATCCTTCCACACCTCAAATAACAGGATTATTCATTAAAGTTTCCTATTATTTTTTATGGCCTTCAAAAATTATTTAAATCCTTAATCCACCTGGAATTTGTTTTGCTATAAGCAATGGAAAGGAACCCACTTTTTTTTTTCCAAATAATTAACTAGTTATATCAGCATATTTTAATCAAATAATTTGCTTCCCTACTTATCTGAAACATCTCCTTTGTTATATACTAAATTTCCAGATGTTTGAACTGATTCTGTTCACTGGTCTGGCTGTTATCATATTAGAATCAAACTGTTATAAATACTGTAGTTTTTATGCTCTAACATATGGTATAGGAAGTTATCATCAAATTACTATGAAGATTTCTGGGGAACAACAGTATACACACTAGAAAGAAAATGAAATTTTCAAAATGAAGAGTTAATAATCCCAAAGAGGAAGGAGTTGATTTGAGAGATACACTGGAAATATTAGACCCAATAACTACTCATCACATAGGCAATTCCAGAGCGAGGAGTATCCTCTTTTCTAACTCTAAAATTTTATCCTTCAACAAAAAACCCATACTCTTCTCTTTTCCTTCCTCAATAAAATTATCGAGGAAGTTAGGTCAGAATATGGTTTAAATAGGAAATGACTGATACTTTAAACATAATAAAGTGATTTTAGTATTCTGAATCTAATAAAAATTTTAGGCAAAAATAGAAAAGAAATAAGAATGAAGGTTATTAAATTAGAAAGTATTTGAAATTTTACAATTATATTATAGTTTGGTGTAATTTCCTGTCTCTAAAATTATCTTTAAAGTAAGTTGCAGAATCTTTGATGAATAAAGTAAATAATAATAACATTCTAAAATGAGAATTTAAAACCATGAGGGTAACTATGTAAATCACAAATTTAGAGTGTTAAAATGATAAAATAATGTGTAAAAGTACTTTAAAAGGTACAAAATGGCAAGTAAAAGTAAAGTTACTTTATTGGGAAGGAGAATTGGCAAAGATAAAATTCACTAATGTGGTATTTATTTCCTTGAAAATTTGGAAGTAAAATATCCTAAATATTGGGCTTAGTTATAATAGCTTTCCAATGGAAATACACTGTGATATATTACCCTGCTGCATTTAGTGTTCATTCATATATTTGATATTGTGCTTTAGTCTACAAAAGGAAAATTCAAAATTACCAATTGATTAAACCAACTTTTTAAAAGTTCAAGAAAAAAATCAGTCACCTATGCCAACATGTGCTTCTTGTATCATGCTTACATCATTAGCACCATCGCCAACAGCCAATGTTATAGGCTTCTCAGGTGAGATTTTTATCAGTCTTATTACCTGAAAGACATACAACTAATTAGTTTTAGATAAAATTTAAATCTTCATGTATTTATATAAAGTCATTTATCTGAAACGATCTGTTGTAAGAAAGGTAGAGCAATGAAAAAAATGTTTATATTAGACGATAATAGGCACCGAGGTTCACTTTTTGAGGGATGTCTCCATTAAGATGTTAGGAATGTTTTTCAGAAATGACACAGCAAAACAGAGTACTATCTTTGGATTTTATGATGGTATGTAAGAATCTTTTAAACAGTTTAAATTTGTAAAAAGCTTAATAATAATTGTGTAAAAAATAATTACAATTAATTGCACTTTGTCAGGCAATTTTTTTTCCTTCTCAAGAAATTATTCTTTTCATTTGATACAGGGGAAAGATAATTATTTTCTCTTGTAATAAAATTTTTAAAATTTTATAAAGCAATCAAAATTAAATTCAATAAAATCAAAAGAAAGGTTTCTTTGGAATACTTGAATATACTTTTATAAAGAATCTAGGAGGACTTCCCTGGTGGCACAGTGGTTAAGAATCCGCCTTCCAATGCAGGGGATGCAGGTTCGATCCTGGTCAGGAACTAGATCCCACATGCGTGCTGCAACTAAGAGTTAGCATGCAACAGCTAAGGAGCCTGCTGGCTGCAATCAAGGGGCCCACCCGCCGCAACCAAGAAAAAAAAAGAATCTAGGCATTAGCTCTGTTTGGTCTCAGGTTTTAGTCTCCATAGACTGGGGGAAATACATGGCTTATAATAATAATAAAATAGGCACTGTAAAAAAAAATCCACGAAGCCAAAAAAACTGGATGTAAAATTTTTTAGACCTATATGTAAAAAAATGTGTTCAGATGTGCATTTCAAAGGGTATCCTTGTGAAGATTACAGTTGCAAAAAATATTTGTATAGGCTATCACTTGAATCATAGTTAGCTGAACTTTAAATAATTCCTGTATATAGCTTCATATCAGAATTAATTGGCTTTTCAACTTTTTACTAAAGTTCTATTTATCACTTAACAGCTATCTTTAACAAAGAGAATTATCACTTCGTAAGAATGCAAGAATAAGCACAGATCAACAGAACCACCTGGAGGTGCAGATGAACTGAAGTCTTATAGGCTCCCTCACCAGTTAAGTAACTAACTTGTGAGACTTCAGTTATCACAGTTCAAATTTATGTCTCAGGAAAATCACAAACTGCTACCTACCACGTGGTCATTTCTAGGTCACAATGATCTATTTCTAGGTCATTATGAATAGTTGAAACTTCAATATTCACCGTGAAATTTCCAAAGGCCTAATGTACGTGGTTAAAATTCATATTATGAGAAGTGACTGACCCCTAGTAAGATACATATACTGCATACCACCAAATGGAACTATATGAGGCATTAACGTTAAAGAATACTTTTTTTTTTTTTAATTAATTTTACTTTTGGCTGCTTTGGGTCTTTGTTGCTGCAGGCTTTCTCTAGTTGCGGCGAGTGGGGGCTACTCTTCCTCGTGCTGCGCGGGCTTCTCATTGCGGTGGCTTCTCTTGTTGCGGAGCATGGGCTCCAAGCATGCGGGCTTCATTAGTTGTGGCACATGGGCTCAGTAGTTGTGGCTTGCGGGCTCTAGAGTGCAGGCTCAGTAGTTGTGGTGCACGGGCTTAGTTGCTCCACGGCATGTGGGATCTTCCTGGACCAGGGCTCGAACCCGTGTTCCCTGCATTGGCAGGCGGATTCTTAACCACTGCGCCACCAGGGAAGTCCGAAGAATACTTTTAAATCTAAATATATTTATGGGACTTGTTATGACATAAACATACCTTTGCTTTCTGCAGTGGTGCCATACGACAGCACATTACAGCTGAACAATTTTTACAAACTTCCATAAATAGTTTTTCATGTTCCCTGAGTGCAAGAGACAGACTGGTCCCATCCACCACCAGACCATGCTGAATCACATGGTCCTCTGTAATTCTAAAAAAGAAAATAATTATATTCTCTGTAAGATACTTTAAAGCCATATTATTCAGACTCATCTAGTGAACAAAAGCTTCTTACTGAAAGATGGATCATTTACTCAGACTTCACTGTTACAAAACTGGCATGTCAGGGAACAAACTGAGTTCTATCACTTGAAAGTTAAGATTAAGCAGAACTGAGAGTGACTGATATGATGAGTAAAACAGACGATGTTCATTTTTACAATGAATTGGTATATACATGCAGTAACCATATTTTCTAAAATGTGAACTGTAATACATAATCTGAGGATATTCTCCCAAACTGTGACTATGGAAAGTCTTACAAAAATAAAAAAAGTTACTAGTTACACATTTAGCAAATTCTAATTTTAAAAAATTAAATGACATCAAGAATGTTCGGGAAAATTTACAAGCTAGATTCACCGGAGGAAGGAAAGGAATGAAGAAATCATAACTGTCTCTTGATATTTAACCCTACAATGGACTGTAATGCCAGGTATTACGACGGTGGAACATGGATAACACCCCTCTTGTGGGCATACACTATACCGAGGACTACTCCAAAGCATGACCTAATTACTGGCAACTGGGCAAACTACTTGTGACAAGAAAGAGGTAAGAAGAAGAAAAACAAAAAGAAAGATAAGAAGCTTGCATCAGTATGTAAATCAACTGTATTACTGAGCACACTATTTTGTTCAACTGCTTTACCCCGCTCCTCCTTTGGTAATAAGAGTTTCTCGCTGAAAGAAGCAGCATATGTATATACAGATTTACATTCTGGAGCAAGCTTCTTATGCTGCTAAAGGCCAGCACTCAAAGTAGCATTGCACTAAATCCACCAAAAGGAAAATACTACAGTTCACCACTGGGTTCACAGTATAGCAAGACTGCTACTGAGAAACATCCATACATTTTCAATTTTTTTTCAGCTTTATTGAGATATTATTAACATATAACATATATAAGTTTAAGGTGTGCAACATGATGGTTTGATACACATATATACTGCAAAAATGACTACCACAACAAGGTTAGTTAATACCTCCATCCTTTCACATATTTTTTTGTGTGTGGTGATAACATTTAAGATCTACTTTCTTTACAACTTTCAAATATATAATATAGTACTGTTAATTACAGTCACCATGCTGTACATTAGATCCCCAGAACTTATTCATCTTATATATAAACTTATATATAAGTTTGTACCCTGTGACTATCATCTCCCCATTTCCCCCACACCCCAGCTCTTGGCAACCACCCTTCTACCACTAGCTTTTTAAAATTCCACATATAAGTATTTGTTTCCCTCTGACTTACTTTACTCAGCATAAAGCCTCAAAGTCCATCCATGTTATCACAAAAAGCAAGATTTCCTTCTTTTTTATGGTTGAATAATATTCCTTTGTGTGTGTGTATACACACACACACACATCACATTTTCTTTATCCATACACACAACAATGGACATTTAGGTTCTTTCCATTCTTGGCTACTGTGAATAATGCTGCAATGAACATGGGAGTGTGGATATCTCTGAGATAGTGATTTCATTTCCTTTGGATAAATACCCAGGAGTGGAATTGCTGGATCATATGGTAGTTCTATTTAAAATTTTTTCCATACTGTTTTCCATAGTGGTTGTACCCTCAAATTTTAAATGACAAGTGAGAAGACTATTAAATGAGCAACAAGCTATAAAAACTAAATAAATACTGTAATTTTTTGTCTTATAATACTTAATTCTTTTCTGTAAGTTAAAATTATGTCTTTCATAGTATGCCTAACAACTACTGTGTTGCACTACAACTAATACCACAACTAATAAGTGGTAAACAACATTCACAACATAAAATTTAAAAAATGTATATTTCTTTTAATAATTCTCCAATATCCAAAATCAGCACCTAAACTATTCTTCCTCCCTGTTGGCTGAACTTATTTAGCAGCCTCTGCTGCCTCCAATACATTCAGCGTGAGCACTGCCTGAGCACATGGCCTCATAAGAAGAAGTAGCAGCCAAGAGTAGGATAGATCAGATCAGTTTTCCTTGGCAACCTTCCCACAGCATACTAACTTAGGTTTTCCTCTGGACAGGTGTCATAAATCAGCGTACTATCTCACAATCCATGGGGTGACATTTATGCAGTACGGAAAACCAGCTCACAGTTCTGGTACACAGTAAGGTAGCATCTGCTTATTTCTGTAGTCTCATGTCTCAATACTTCCCACATCATCTCCCATCTATTCCATTCTCTGGCCATATTTAACTACTATCAATTCCTTGAATGAATCTCTCAGCTCTGGGAATTTGCATACATTGCCCGCTTTGCTTCTTGGTGTTACTCTCTGACCAGTTTACATTTCATCGCTGGAAACAACACAGTCGTGAGTTCTAATGTAGAGCAAGAACTTAGCCTACGCTAAGCTCAGGCTAAGCTTCCCTCTTCTGTCTACCCACAGCTCTCTGTTCTTGCCTCAGTTACAATTCAGTTGTGATAGGTCTATGACAATATATTTATTTCTGTTTTTCCTACACATTGTAAGTATTCTGGGAATAAATACACCTTATGTGACTCTGTTCCAAATGCCCAGATAAGAGACAATCATTATATGTTTGTGAAGGACTGGATATATACACTAAAGCTTTCAAAGGTATGGAATTCTTTTGCTATACCCAAAATTTTTAGAATAGATACTTCCTGAAAGTCTGTAAATCAAAATCCTATTGACTTACACGGTTAACTCAGAAAATGCACTCCAGGAACTCCCTGGCAGTCCAGTGGTTAAGAGTCTGTGCTCCCACTGCTGAGGGCCCAGGTTCAATCTCTGGTCGGGGAGCTAACATCCCACAAGCCTCATGGCATGGCCAAAGGAAAAAAAGAAAAGAAAGCGTACTCCACCAAAAAGATGGTATCTCTAAAACATAAGTTTCACACAGCAAGCCTAAAATTCATTTTAAGGTATAACCTTCACTTTATAATACAGCTTTTGTACAAAAAGGGAAATGAACAATACCCATGATCTTAACAGACTCACTAAAAGCACATATATAGAAGACTTAAAAAAATTCTAAAATACAAGTAATAATTATCTTTAGATGGCTGTATTATATTATTAACCATATCTTCTTTACCATTTTCAGTATTTTTTAAATGAACATTTAGTATTTTTAAAATCAGGAGTAATATTTAAGAAGTAAATGATTCTGAGCAAATAGTCTGTTTGTTTTAGGGAGTTCTTGACATTATGATACTTAAATGTTTAAGCAATCACGATAGTGTTGGCACTGCTCCAAAACTGTAGTATAATTACCTAAATTAATCACCTTTTTGAGCTCAAGCAAAGACCCTTCTGAGAGCTGCACTGTCTCTTTAAAACATTCCTTAAGTAAGTTTTTCTCTGATGAAATCCAGAGTTTAGTATCACATCAATCTCTGCATAACAAATGTAAATCAAGCACTGAATGTACATTGACAACTGTGGCATTGTCTTTTCGCATTTGTTTTTCTGCATTAATATTACAAGACTGCAAAGACAGGTACCTGTAGAATATCTTAGATGGCTACATACAAGCAACCCTGATGCTTACACTGAAGCACTCCTAATTTATTGTAAAAACAACTGACTGTGTTAAATGGGGGCTCCTAAATAAAGTTGATTTACCGAAAAAAGCAGATTTAGAGAAAAAGAGAACGCATTAAGAAAATAAATACCTATGAAATTATCTTTGAACAGTAAAATGCAGATTAATTTCCCTGTTTGGTCATGTGAACCTCATCAGTGGTTGGCAAATGTTTTCTGTAAAGCGTTAGAAGTAAACATTTTGATTTTAAGTTTTGTGGGCCATGAGGCTAAATTGAGGATATTATGTAGGTACTTATGCTACAAAAGAGGAAACAACTTTTGACAAAAAAAATTTTAAGTAAAAAATGTAATAATTAAGGGACTCTCTCGCCTTCTGAGAGGGTCCACACTGTCTGTGGAGTGTTTCTCCCTAAATAAATCCACTTCTTATCTATCACTTTGTCTCTCACTGAATTCTTTCTGTGATGAGACATCAAGAACCCGAGCTTCATTAAGTCCTGAGGCCAGTCTTTTGAGTTCTGCGGGAACTAAGGCCCGCACCCAGGTGGAGGATGGAATGATGATGTTGACCCACATGACTTCAATCAACTAAAGCTTGGACTCTATCAATCGTGGCCCCAATTCTATGCTGAATTCTCCTCTGCTCAAGCCCCTTCATGAATATGCATGTACCCTTAACTTAAAACTTCCCCAAGTTTGCTGTTTGGGGGAGACACTATTTTAGGAAAGATCCCCAGTGTTCTCCTTACTTGCTGCAAGTAATAAATCTTTCCTTTTCGCGAAAAAAAAAAAAAATTAAGTACAATTTTTAAAGTAATAGAAGTCTACTAATGAGGAGAACAGAAACCTTTTTATTTTGCAGGGGGAAGAACTCCAATTAATTTTGATTAATTGGGGTTCAAAGTTCATGTTTCCTATCATCAAAATCAATTGCACATGTCCATGTGTTAATGCTGATCTGTAATGAAATTTTACATTTTATTGCAAAAGAACCATCTGTAATGAGATTTTGTATTTCATTTTTGATTGTCTTTTCAAACAGGCAGTATATTAAAGCATATTATCACTGAATAATAAACACAATTCTTTGCCACCTAATTTGATAATAATCAACACTCCACTATGCTTTAAGAGTGTGATATTAAAATTCCATTTTTCTTTTAATGTTTGGACATGATGGTTAAATACTGATAATAAAAATATACTAAAATGTCATATGGCAAAATGTGTGGCACGGAAAACATTAACAAGTTATAATTGTGTCGCTGTGATTTGTAGTATATATCAAGCAGCAGTGAGAAATGAGAAAAATGCTTTATAAGGTCTCTGTCCCAATTACTCAACTGTGCTGTTATAGTGCAAAAGCCTTCACTGATGATGTGTAAATGAACAAATGTGGCTCTGTTCCAATAAAACTTTATTTACAGACACCGAACTTTTAATTTCATGTAATTTTCACACCATGAAATATTACTCTTCTTTGACTTCTTTTTCATCCATTAAAAAATGTAAAAATTATTTTGAGCTCATGGGCTGTAAAAAAGGCAGTGGGCCATATTTGGGCCCATGGGCCATAGCTTGCTGGCCCCTGAACTCCATGATACAGATAATTATATTCTTACCTTCTGGCAAGCTGCCTCAACTTTTCAGCACATTCACTGTCTGACGTCTGGTTTATAAGTTCAAGGATGTTCATGGTTCTGTGAAAATGTCCACATGACAAACTCACACTAACAGCTGTTTCATGTTTATCTCCAGTAAGTACCCATACTTTGATACCAGCCATTCTCAATGCTTCAATAGTTTCTCGAACTTTATCTTGTAGTCTGAAAATAAAAGAAACAAAATTAGTAGTAGAGAACATTTTTTTGACTGTATTTAAAGTATGAACCACAAAGTAAAGTAAGGTAATTCCGAACTCCTTAACCTAGGGATGTTATAGTATAGTAATATAATTGAATTTTTTTCCATTAGGGAAAAAATAGGAATAACCAAATTAGTGACCACTTGGCTAATATAAAATCTACAACTGTGTGCTAACACATGTTTGTCACAATGGGAATTCCAGAGTTGTGAGGCATTTTAGGTGACAGATACTAAATGATCGCTTGGGTCAATACTGCCTTAATGAGAACATTTGTGCATTCTCACAATTGTAAAGTTTCCTTCCCTTCATTTTGGTTACTGATAATACTACTGTAAATGTATTTGGTTTTTTTGAAGCTCACAGGGTATTGATATGTTGGAGCACTATGTAAACTTAAATGTAAAATCTACAACTTCATATTTTAAGAGTGTATCTTCAAAGCTGATTTTTATAGAACCAACTAACTATATAGTCTTCATAAACTCATTTTCTTAGAAAGTCTTAAATTTCAAATTAGAAGATTTTCTCCTTTTTCGGCAAGAAAATCTCTTACCTCATTAGTTCAAAATTCAGACTGTGGACAATAATGGTCTACATATAACCTCAGGGAGTCTCATAAATCTCATGAGGACAACTGAAAAGTAAATGAAACCCTAGATTTTAAAAAATGCAAGCACCTTTAGATCTAGCGGGTAGAGAAAAACGTAACAATAGGCTTAATTTGTAGAATTCAATTTAATTCAAGAAACTGTGAAACACACAGGGAGAGAGATGCTGGGAACAAAGGCAAAGAATAAGTAGACCTCAAGGAATTCACAGGCTAACAGAGGAGAAAGTCTTCAACAAATAATATACTGCCTACAAAACTACTACAACAGAACTACCTACAAAACATGGAGGCTTTCCAAACGAGAGAATTTTTAATACTGTTAGGGGTTAGGAAAGGTCCTCCTGGAGTGGGGGTGATATATGAACTATGGTTTATGAATAGGTATTCACAGATGGATAAGGGAAGAATGATCCAGGCAGAAAGCACAGCCTTGCCAACGAAAAAAGGCACAAAATAGAACACTTTTAACTATAGCTGTCGTTCAGAGAACTAGACAGTTTGGTACTGTTGAAATGTAAAGTGGAAGGGGGGGCAGTGGTAAGAGGTGAGGCTGGAGAATTAAGCAGGAACTTAAAATCTTTGTATGGAACACTGAGGAATAGTCTAAAAACTCCAGACTACAGGCAAAACTATATACATGGCTGTATTCTTTCAACTATTTCAGATAGCTGGCTAGAACAAAAATTATATATATGGACTGGGAAAAATTAAGGCTTTAATTCTGTTTTCATTTTAAATATATTAAGTATAAAATGTTAAAAAATAGAATTTGTCATAAATTAGAAACACTTGGCTAGAAAAATTCTTATGAGAGAAAAATGATATTGCCTATTTGTCTGATACTTACTTGTCTTCTACTGCTGTAGCTCCCAGTAATATCAGGTCTTTCTCTATGAAATGGAAGACATCTGCCAATTTCTCTTCCCGTTGCTGCAAGGCAGTCCTGGCTTCAAATAAATGTCTATCTATTTCCTCATACTCCTTAGGTGTAAACTCTCTATAGGCCATACACAGAGTTCTTAGCCCTTTCTAAAATAGGAAAATTAAAGACAAAATTGAACAAAGATAACTAATGGGGAATTAAGAAGTCACTGAAATAAACTGAGGACCCCATTACCAAAATTCAACTATAAATAATTTAAAAAGTACTATCATCTAGTGATAGGAAATAAATAAACTGTCACAAAACCCTAGTTATCTGAGTTATGGGACACATATTATCATAGCTCTTGCAATTTTTGATGAGTTCCTAAACAGTTGCTCAAAAAAATTAAGGTCATTGAATTGTAGAACATTAGAGCCTAGACAGGATCATAAAGACGATCTACCTGTGATTTTAAATATGTTTTACCAGGAAAGCCAAAAAGTTCTATAATGGTACCTTTAGGATTGTCAAGAGAGAGGCAGCCCCAGGTTCTTCTCTCCTGTTTTAACCACTACAACTCCACTTTTATCTATTTATTTTTTTTAGACAATTTTTTTAAAAGTCTTTATCGAATTTGTTACAATACGGCTTCTGTTTTATGTGGTTTTTTTTGGTTTTTTGGCCGCAAGGCATGTGGGATCTTCCCAAGCAGGGATTGAACCTGCATTGGAAGGTGAAGTCTTAACCACTGGACTGGCAGGGAAGTCCCCACTTTTATCTACTTTAAAAGAACTTTTTTTTAAGCAAAGGGGACTATAATTTCCTGAGGGTTCATGATATGACAAATTCACATTTCAAATAAAGAAGCCTGTAAAGTGGTCATTATCAACCAACCAATACTTTCTAGAGCCACTGAATGAATGATTTTAAATTGTATCATTATACCTTTACTGGTGAATTGGAATTTCACAAAACTTAGGAATATATATTTGATTATCTGATTCTACCAGGTGTAAACTTTTCTTATGGTGTTAATATTTGGAAGTTGGTATCTAAATCTGAAAGCTTACAAAAGTTCTTTTTCTTGCAACACATTTTCCTCAGAAAAACCCAAAATAAATGTTCTAATAGTAGGACTCAGAAAGGAAAAGTTTTAAAATACTATATGACACTACTTAGTAGATTTCTAAATGTTGTCATTCCTTGATTTACAAATGACCTACACCTATAAACACCTGCTTCTCTTAAATAACAGTTAAGAAACTATGAGAGTTACTAAATTAATTCCACAACAAACATTTATTGAGTGCCAACTACGTGCCAGCATTTTTCTGGATTAAAATGACAGAAAAGTAGAATAGGACTTCCCTGATGGTGCAGTGATTAAGAATCTGCCTGCCAATGCAGAGGACACGGGTTTGATCCCTGATCCAGGAAGATCCCACATCTTCCTAGGATGTTGCTTGCCATGGAGCAACTAAGCCCGTGCACCACAACTACTGATCTCACACTCCGCAACTACTGAGACCACATGTTGCAACTACTGAAGCCTGCAAGCCTAGAGCCGGTGCTCCGCAACAAGAGAAGCCACTGCAACGAGAAGCCCATGCACCGCAATGAAGAGTAGCGCCCCCCCACTCGCCACAACTAGAGAAAGCCCACAGGCAGCAACGAGGACCCACCGCAGTCCCCGGCCCCCCCCAAAAAAAGTAGAACAATGCCTTTGTTCTTATGGATATTACAGCGTGGTAGATAAACTAGACCATAAACAAATAGAAAGTAATGGGAGAAAAGAAACCATAAGTAAGTAAAGGAGGCAGGTGGGCAGCATTTATAGAAATGCAGAAATGAGAGCTCATGAGGCTCTAACACTGAGACGGAGCTGCTTAATAAGTTTCCTCTTCACATGAATTGTGGCACTTTGTTTTTGTAAGATTTTCCTATTCTTTTATTAAGAGGGACATAATTCACGTACCATAATTCACTTTAAAAAGTACAATTCAGTGGTCTTTAGTGTACTCACAAAGTCGTGCAACTGTTATTACTATCTAATTCCAGAACATTTGTGTCACCCCCAAAAGGAATTCCATATTCATTAGCAGACACTTCCCTTTCCCCCCTTTCTCCAGCTCCTGGCAACCACTAATATGCTTTCTGGCTCTATGAATCTGTCTTTTCTGGGTATTTCATATAAATGGAACATGTGGCCTTTTGTGACTGGCTTCTTTCACTTAGCAATCTTTTCAAAGTTCATCCATGATGTAGCATATATCAGTATTTCATTCCTTTTAATGGCCAAATAACATTTTGTTATATGGATATGACACATATCATATATGGATATGACACATCAGTTGATGGACATTTGGGTGTTTCCATTTTTTTGGCTATTAGGAATAAAGCTGCTAAGTACAAGTTTCTGTGTAGATGTATGTTTTCAATTCTCTTGGATGTATACCTAGGAGTGAAATTACCAAGTATATAGTAACTCTATATTACTCTATGTTCTATGAGGAATTGTAAAACTATTTTTGGAAGTGGCCATATCATTTATATTCCCATCAGCAATGTTATCAGGGTTCCAGTTTCTACACATACTTGGGATTTTTGTACGTCTCTTTTTTTTTTTGGTGGGGGGGTCATGCTGCACAGCATGCAGGATCTTAATCCCCCGACCAGGGATGGAACCCATGCCCCCTGCAATGGAAGCACGGAGTCTTAACCACTGGAATGCCAGGGAAGTCCCTCCCTTTTTAGTATAGCAATCTGAGTGGTCCTTGTAGCCATAAGTACTCTGGCTGTACTAGGTGCAAAGACAAGACATATTTTAGCAGGTTAAAAAAGGTCACATTTTAACCAACGAATGAGGAGCCAACATATAATGTAACAGAACTGCAGAATTTCTATAATTTTTGATAAAATACTAATGCAAAAATGAAACCCCAAATCTTTCATATATATATATATTTTTAGCGGTTTTTAAATTAGAGAAATTTGCACTTACCAAAGCAAATTCATCTACATGAATTCTTGTTTTTTCTATTTCTCCACCTACACATTCCGGGAGAACTGATGATTCGGCTCCTTTAACAAATAAAAGTTTCTCACCTAAAAAGAAAAATGAGTTATTAAGTTCTTAGTATTACATAACTAAAAATTCATGAACATTTAAATTGGTTACCTGAAGGTGCCTGAACAATTACACTCATTCTTCTACGATCTGAATTAAATTCCAGAATATGAAGCAGTTTGTACCTAAGGAAGAAAAAATAAGAAAGACAAAATCTGTACTTTTTTGAATATTAAGTGAATATTTGGAAAGAATCCCTATAAAAGATAAAATGGTTAATTTAGAACAAGAAATTAATCTCAGTTACATTTTTCAAGATGATGGATTATGAGTCATTAATAACACAAGACAGAAAAAGAAGGAACTGACATTTATTAAGTACTTACCAAATGCCACGTACTTTACATACCTTATATCATTTAATACCCATGAGAACCAAAGGAGGTAGGTCTTATCTCATTTTACAGGTGAGGACTATTAAACTCAGAAAGATACACTCATTTACCTTAAGTCAAATAAGCATGTGAATGGCACAGCAAGGAATGGAATACATATCTGCCCAGCTTCATGTTTTTCCTCACTAAAAAAGGTGACTGATTCTCAACTCTTTTTTCTGCCTAAACACACCTGAGAAATACGAACACTCACATTAGTAACAGAGGCTCATTACAGCAGTGATTCTGAACCTACGACAGGGCATGTGTGTGCAGTTGGGGGACACAAAGGCCTCTCTAGGGAGCTGTAAAAGAATTTGTGTGGATGGGTCAGGTGTGGATTGAAAAGTCTTCTAGATGAATTTATACAATGATGTACATATGGAATGTTTTGGCACATCTCAAAGAAAAACACTGAGTAGAATGGTTTATAAGTTGATAAAATGAGCTAGACAGGCTCCCAGATAAAAGTAGCCAAAGACTGGGCACTATTTAGTTCAGAAAAGCATAGTCTGGAAAAGCACAAGTGGAGCTGAGATATGATCAGAAATGATAAAACCACGAAAGATATGAATGTGATAAGAATGGACTAATTTATCAAACAGAGGAAATACTGGAAATAATACAACAGTTCCTTAATGTTTGAAAGATAAAAATCATAGGAAAGATAAGGAAGTTTTTATTTAGTGAGTAGAAATTTACAAAACTCATTATCCTAAGAATGTGTAAAAATAAACACATAAGTAAATTCAAGAAGCATTAAGCTAAACTACAGATGAAAGTTTCAGAGTATTATACTGTTACTACCATGATGAGATACAATGTAATACTGACATCATTCTAGAGCAGGTGTCAGTAAACTTTTCCTGTAAGGGGCCAGACAGTAAATACTTTAGGCTTTGAAGACCATATATGATCTCTGCTGCATATTTTTTTGCTTTGGAAAACACTTTAAAAATGTAATTTAGGGGGCTTCCCTGGTGGCGCAGTGGTTGAGAGTCCGCCTGCCGATGCAGGGGACGCGGGTTCGTGCCCTTGTCCGGGAAGATCCCACATACCGCGGAGCGGCTGGGCTCCTGAGCCATGGCCACTGAGCCTGCGTGTCCGGAGCCTATGCTCCGCAACGGGAGAGGCCACAACAGTGAGAGGCCCGCATACCGCAAAAAAAAAAAAAAAAAAAAATGTAATTTAGTTTGCAGGCTGTAGGCCAGATCTGGTTTCTGGGTCATAGTTTACCAATTCCTGTTCTATAGTAAACACTTAATATATAGAAAATTACAATATAGAAAAAAATTACCGTTCCAGTTTTCCAAGTGTTTTAACTTCCATAGTTTCTCCAGAATTGCCAATAAATACAATGCCAAATCTAGGGAATAAAAGGAGAAAGAAATATAAGATTTAAAGGATGATATTTTATAATTCACAATATAACTAACTTGAATAAAATCATTTAAAATATAAGTTTAAGATGTATTTTAAAGTTATTTCCTTTGAGTATAGGATTATTTTTAAGAACTTGAAGGATGAGAGTAGATCCAAAACAATACATACACAAGTATTTCTCACAAATTATATTGTTCATATTTCACAGTAACCAGACTTTTTTTTTTTTTTTTTTTTTTTTTAGTAATCAGACTTTTAAAGAGATCTCTTCAAAATATGACTTAATGCAAGCCTGACAACAAAATTAATGACATTTCAAATTCTCATTTAAAATACTTTTATGTGTAAATATACATATAAATAAAATACCTTTATGTGTAAAAAAAGTGTAAAAATAAAATAAAATACCTTTATGTTTCTGAATTTTGTCTGAGAATTTAAAATTATGTTCTTACATTTTCACATTTTCATTTAAAAGGTATTTTTCTGAAGATTTGAAAATTAAACTTAAACTACCTTGCAGCAGCTTCCACGAGAGCCTTTTCATCTGGTGAAGATGCATAGTACTCCAACTGGGAGGGTGCAAGGTTGGTTTGCCAGGGACCATCACCAATTCCATCAGTCTGAACACTGCTAATCTGCACAGTGTGACAGAGACTGACTGCTTTAAAGAAGAGATCATGTTCTTTAATCTGTAGAAACATAATTAATATTCATAATAAAATATACCAATACCAAAAAACATGCAGGAACATGTAGGAAACCAGAAACAAAATTCTAAAAAATGCCAATACAGCTCATAATTTGATAAACTAAGACGTAGAACCAGAGTGCCACAATTCTGAATTGCATAAATAACAGTTGGTTGCTTCTGAATCCCAAGAGTAAAATGTCACATTTGCTTATGACCCTTCAACATCTGAGTATATTTTTAGGAGGCATAAACAAATTGCAAGTAAAGGTGAAAACTCTTTTGTGGAAGAACTGAGATCTCAAAAACTCTATTAAGCTCTATTCCTTAACAAAGTCCTCTTTATTTCAAGGCAGAAAGGGCTTTCTTTAACTTAGTCCCGTTTAAATACCCAGAGAACTAAAGTAGATGCATACACACACACACACACACACACACACACACACACACACACACACACAATTTTTTTTTTTTGCGGTACGTGGGCCTCTCACTGTTGTGGCCTCTCCCGCTGCGAAGCATAGGCTCCAGACGTGCAGGCTCAGCGGCCATGGCTCACAGACCCAGCCGCTCCACGGCATGCGGGATCTTCCCGGACCGGGGCACAAACCCACATTCCCTGCATCGGCAGGGGGACTCTCAACCACTGCGCCACCAGGGAAGCCCTATATATTTTTTTTTAGTGGAACATTTTATTTATTTATTTATTTTTAATAGATCTTTATTGGAGTATAATTGCTTCACAATACTGTGTTACTTTCTGTTGCACAACAAAGCGAATCAGCCATACGTATACACATGTCCCCATATCCCCTTCCTCTTGAGCCTCCCTCCCTAAAGTAGATGCATATTAAGTGACAAACTGGCTTATGACTATAAATTTTCAGTGCTGAATCAAAGGCTAAACATTTCAAATGTATATTCCTTGCCCCACTAACACTTAAACTTTTTCTCCTACAACCCACCAACTAACAAAGAATTACTATTTCAAATGAAACTCCTATTTATTAACTTAAAAATTGCTTACTAGTTCAGTTTCATTTTCAGGACTGGTTCTGAAAGAGGAACTGGTTGCAAGATGGGATAAGTTGTTAAGATGGGATAAACTACTAAGATAAGATAAGTTTCCATCTGAAGAGTCTGGTGTTGGTCCTTCAGATACAAGTCTACCATTGATTTCTTGGTATTTTATACCATTAATTGAACATTCCCGAAACTGCATCTCGTTTTCGGTCAGTGTACCAGTTTTGTCTGTAAACACATACTCGACCTAGAAATAGAAAACAAAAGAAAACAAACCTTTATGTTCAGGGCATTATTTTAAACAAAAAAACTTTGTACTCTGGCTCCTGAAGTTGTTTACCTATTAACATTGATATAACATTTAACTCATGTTAAAAGTCTTACTTATAATCTGAGCACAAGCAAATAATTAAAGATGCCACAGAAACAAAACAGGGTAATACAAAATATTTAAAATCTATATACTCTTTGAAGTCTGTGGCATCTTTAGGTTCATGTTCATCTATAGAGTTGACTGATAATTTCTGCTGAACAAGCAGGAGAAATACGAACTGCAGTTATTCTCTCTGGGTAAACTGAGGAAAAGTCAATACTGATATTTGGGGATAACCCCCAAAAACAGCTGGGCTGCCAGGCTTTTCTAGGGAGAACTTTTGGACTTGTAAAGAAAACCAAAGATTAGCATTCATTTGAGGATATCCCCTTACATGAAAAGGCAAAGAGAGTCTAAAACAAATGACAGGCAGTTCCACGATAACACTGTCTTGAAAACACAAGAACTTATTACAATGAGACTGATATATAAGGGAACAATTTGAGCATAATATGAACTTTGCGTTTGATTATGAACAGTTTCATCTGTGAGAAACACTAGGTGAACACAGAAAACTGCATCCAGCATACATGAAATATACAAACCTCAAACAGCTAGTAGCTACTTCAGGTCACCATGTGTGTTATGAGCCATAACAATTCACATCTGGTATCATACTTTCCTTCTGTTTTCAGACAACCTTCCTTCCAATACTTCACAATAACACACAAATTGCAATACTTCTGATGGCCACTTTCACAAGAAAACTTCAGGTCATTTTCAAGATAAAGTGCCATATTTATTGTAGTATTTATGTATTTCTTAATAATCTAGCAAGCCCTGTTGTCATTAGGTTCTTATCTTTTTTGTTGTTTTTTGCGGTAAGCAGGCCTCTCACCACTGTGGCCTCTCCCGTTACGGAACACAGGCTCCAGACGCGCAGGCTCAGCGGCCATGGCTCACGGGCCCAGACACTCTGCAGCATGTGGGATCCTCCCGGACCGGGGCACGAACCCGCGCCCCTGCATCGGCAGGCGGACCCCCAACCACTGCGCCACCAGGGAGGCCCTTATTTTTTTATTTTAAATGTGTTACAAAGTTTTTGTTGTATCCCAATTCCATTTTCCCATAAGCCCTGTGTGTTTTTTTTTTTTTTTTTTTTTGCGGTACACGGGCCTCTCACCGTTGTGGCCTTCTCCCGTTGCGGAGCACAGGCTTATGGATGCGCAGGCTCAGCGGCCATGGCTCACGGGCCCAGCCACTCTGCGGCATGTGGGATCTTCCCGGACCGGGGCATGAACCCGTGTCCCCTGCATCGGCAGGCGGACTCCCAACCACTGCACCACCAGGGAAGCCCAGACCTGTGGTTTTTACTAAGTAATTTTGCATAGCACAGTGATTTTAGGAATGCATATGTCACATTACAGCGGAACTGATGTACTGAGAAAGGAACTAGGAAAAAACTGAGAAAATGCAACTAGCAGAAGGCTTTAAAGAAACTGTCATTAATATCCTCAAAGAGGTGAAAGAACAGATTATATTCAAGAAACAAGAATAAGATGTAATTAAAAGACGACCATTCTGGGAATTCCCTGGCTGTGCAGTGGTTAGGACTCTGCGTTCCCACTGCGGGGACATGGGTTCGATCCCTAGTAGGGGAACTGAGATCCCGCAAGCTGTGTGGCCAAAAAAAAAAAAAAAAAAAGACCATTCAGATATACTAGGATATTAGAAATTAAAAACATTACAATACAAATAAAAGAAATCAAAAGATAGGTGGAACCAGAGGGCAGACGGCAGAAGCAAGAAGAACTACAGTCCTGCAGTCTGTGTAAAAAAACCACATTCACAGAAAGACAGACAAGATGAAAAGGCAGAGGGCTATGTACCAGATGAAGGAACAAGATAAAAACCCAGAAAAACAACTAAATGAAGTGGAGATAGGCAACCTTCCAAAAATAAATTTCAGAATAATGATAGTGAAGATGATCCAGGACCTTAGAAAAAGAATGGAGGCAAAGATCGAGAAGATGCAAGAAATGTTTAACAAAGACCTAGAAGAATTAAAGAACAAACAAACAGAGATGAACAATACAATAAATGACAATGAAAACTACACTAGAAGGAATCAATAGCAGAATAACTGAGGCAGAAGAACAGATAAGTGACCTGGAAGACAGAATGGTGGAATTCACTGCTGTGGAACAGAACTAAAGAAAAAAGAATGAAAAGAAATGAAGACAGCCTAAGAGACCTCTGGGACAACATTAAACGCAACAACATTCGCATCGTAAGGGTTGCAGAAGAAGAGAGAGAGAAAGAACCAGAGAAAATATCTGAAGAAATTATAGTCAAAAACTTCCCTAACATGGGAAAGGAAATAGCCACCCGAGTCCAGGAAGCGCAGCGAGTCCCATACAGGATAAACCCAAGGAGAAACACGCCGAGGCACATAGTAATCAAATTGGCAAAAATTAAAGACAAAGAAAAATTATCAAAAGCAGCAAGGGAAAAACGACAAATAACATACAAGGGAACTACCATAAGGTTAACAGCTGATTTCTCAGCAGAAACTCTATAAGCCAGAAGGGAGTGGCATGATCTGCTTAAAGTGATGAAAGGGAAGAACCTACAGCCAAGATTACTCTACCCAGGAAGGATCTCATTCAGATTTGATGGAGAAATCAAAAGCTTTACAAATAAGCAAAAGCTAAGACAATTCAGCACCACCAAACCAGCTTTACAACAAATGCTAAAGGAACTTCTCTAAGCGGGAAACAAAAGAGAAGAAAAGGACCTACAAAAACAAACCCAAAACAATTCAGAAAATGGTCAGAGGAACATACATATCGATAATTACCTTAAACGTGAATGGATTCAATGCTCCAACCAAAAGACACAGGCTTGCTGAATGGATACAAAAACAAGACCCGTATATATGCCTGTCTACAAAAGACGCACTTCAGACCTAGGGACACATACAGACTGAAAGTGAGGGGATGTAAAAAGATATTCCATGCAAATGGAAACCAAAAGAAAGCTGGTATATCAATACTCATATCAGATAAACAGACTTTAAAATAATGTTACAAGAGACAAGGAAGGACACTACATAATGATCAAGGTATCGATCCAAGAAGAAGATATAACATTACAAATATATATGCACCCAACATAGGAGCACCTCAATACATAAGGCAACTGCTAACAGCTATAAAAGAGAAAATCGACAGCAACACAATAATAGTGGGGGACTTTAACTCCTCACTTACACCAATGGGCAGATGATCCAAAATGAAAATAAATAAGGAAACAGAAGCTTTAAATGACACAAAAGACCAGATAGCATTAATTGATATTTATAGGACATTCCATCCAAAAATAGCAGATTACACTTTCTTCTCAAGTGCGCACGAACATTCTCCAGGATAGATCACATATTGGGTCACAAATCAAGCCTCAGTAAATTTAAGAAAATTGAAATCATATCAAGCATCTTTTCTGACCACAACACTATGAGATTAGAAATGAATTACAGGGGAAAAAAACGTAAAAAACACAAACACATGGAGGCTAAACAATACGTTACTAAATAACCAAGAGATTACTGAAGAAATCAAAGAGGAAATCAAAAAATACCTACAGACAAATGACAATGAAAACACGATGATCCAAAACCTATGGGATGCAGCAAAAGCAGTTCTAAGAAGGAAGTTTATAGCTATAAAAGCCAACCTCAAGAAAGAAGAAAACTCTCAAGTAAACAATCTAACCTTACACCCAAAGGAACTAGAGAAAGAAGAACAAACAAAACCCAGAGTTAGCAGAAGGAAAGAAATCATAAAAATCAGAGCAGAAATAAATGAAATAGAAACAAAGAAAACGATAGCAAAGATCCAATAAAACTAAAAGCTGGTTCTTTGAGAAGATAAACAAAATCGATAAACCATTAGCCAGACTCATCAAGAAAAAGAGGGAGAGGACTCAAATCAATAAAATTAGAAATGAAAAAGGAGAAGTTACAACAGACACCACAGAAATACAAAGCATCCTAAGAGACTACTACAAGCAACTCTATGCCAATAAAATGGACAACCTGGAAGAAATGGACAAATTCTTAGAAAGGTATAACCTTCCAAGACTGAACCAGGAAGAAACAGAAAATATGCACAGACCAATCACAAGTAATGAAATTGAAACTGTGATTAAAAATCTTCCAACATGGGCTTCCCTGATGGCACAGTGGTTGAGAGTCCGCCTGCCGATGCAGGGGATAAGGGTTCGTGCCCCGGTCCGGGAAGATCCCATGCCACAGAGCGGCTGGGACCGTGAGCTATGGCCGCTGAGCCTGCGCGTTTGGAGCCTGTGCTCTGCAATGGGAGAGGCCACAACAGTGAGAGGCCCACGTACCGAAAAAAAAAAAAAAAAAACTTCCAACAAACCAAAGTCCAGGACCAGACGGCTTCACAGGTGAATTCTATCAAACGTTTAGAGAAGAGTTAACATCCATCCTTCTCATACTTTTCCAAAAAACTGCAGAGGAAGGAGCACTCCCAAACTCATTCTATGAGGCCACCATCACCCTGATACGAAAAGCAGACAAAGATACCACAAAAAAAGAAAATTACAGACCAATATCACTGATAAATATAGATGCAAAAATCCTAACAAAATACCAGCAAACAGAATCCAACAACACATTAAAAGGATCATACACCACGATCACGTGGGATTTATCCCAGGGATGCAAGGACTCTTCAATATACGCAAATCAATCAATGGGATACACCATATTAACAAACTGAAGAACAAAAACCATGATCATCTCAGTAGATGCAGAAAAAGCTTTTGACAAAATTCAACACCGATTTATGATAAAAACTCTCCCGAAAGTGGGCATAGAGGGAACCTACCTCAACATAATAAAGGCCATATATGACAAACCCACAGCAAACATCATTCTCAATGGTGAAAAACTGAAAGCATTTCCTCTAAGATCAAGAACGAGACAAGGATGTCCACTCTCACCACTATTATTCAACATAGTTTTGGAAGTCCTAACCATGGCAATCAGAGAAGAAAAAGAAATAAAAGGAATACAAATTGGAAAAGAAGAAGTAAAACTGTCACTGTCTGCAGATGACATGATACTATAAATACAGAATCCTAAAAATGCTACCAGAAAAATACTAGAGCTCATCAATAAATTTGGTAAAGTTGCAGGATACAAATTAATGCACAGAAATCTCTTGCATTCGTATACACTAATGATGAAAAATCTGAAAGAGAAATTATGGAAACACCCCCATTTACCACTGCAACAAAAAGAATAAAATACCTAGGAATAAACCTACCTAGGGAGACAAAAGACCTGTATACAGAAAACTATAAGACACTGATGAAAGAAATTAAAGATGATACCAACAGATGGAGAGATATAGCATGTTCTTGGACTGGAAGAATCAATAGTGAAAATGACTGTACTACCCAAAGCAATCTACAGATTCAATGCAATCCCTATCAAATTACCAATGGCACTTTTTACGGAACTAGAACAAATCATCTTAAAATTTGTATGGAGACACAAAAGACCCCGAATAGCCAAAGCAGTCTTGATGGGAAAAAACGGAGCTGGAGGAATCAGACTCCCTGACCTCAGACTATACTACAAAACTACAGTAATCAAGACAATATGGTACTGGCACAAAAACAGAAATACAGATCAATGGAACACGATAGAAAGCCCAGAGATAAACCCACGCAACTATGGTCAACTAATCTATGACAAAGGAGGCAAAGATATATGATGGAGAAAAGACAGTCTCTTCAGTAAGTGGTGCTGGGAAAACTGGACAGCTACATGTAAAAGAATGAAATTAGAACACTTCCTAACACCACACACAAAAATAAACTCAAAATGGATTCGAGACGTAAATGTAAGACCCGACACTATAAAACTCTTAGAGGAAGACATAGGAAGAACACTCTTTCACATAAATCACAGCAAGATCTTTTTTGATCCACTCCTAGAGTAATGGAAATAAAAACAAAAATAAACAAATGGGACCTAATGAAACTTCAAAGCTTTTGCACAGCAAAGGAAACCATAAATACGAAAAGACAACCCTCAGAATGGGAGAAAATATTTGCAAACGAATCAACAAAGGATTAAGCCCCAAAATATATAAACAGCTCATGCAGCTCAATGTTAAAGAAACAAACAACCCAATCCAAAAATGGGCAGAAGACCTAAACAGACATTTCTCCAAAGAAGACATGCAGATGGCCAAGAAGCACATGAAAAGCTGTTCAACATCACTAATTATTAGAGAAATGCAAATCAAAACTTCAATGAGGCATCACCTCACACCAGTTAGAATGGGCATCATCAGAAAATCTACAAACAACAAATGCTGGAGAGGGTGTGGAGAAAAGGGAACCCTCTTGCACTGTTGGTGGGAATGTAAATTGATACAGCCACTATGGAGAACAATATGGAGGTTCCTTAAAAAAGTAAAAATAGATTTACCATATGATCCAGCAATCCCACTACTGGGTATATACCCAGAGAAAACCATAATTCAAAAAGACACATGCACCCCAATGTTCACTGCAGCACTATTTACAACAGCCAGGTCATGGAAGCAACCTAAACGCCCATCGACAGATGAATGAATAAAGAAGATGTGGTACATATATACAATGGAATATTACTGAGCCATAAGAAGGAACGAAATTGAGTCATTTGTTGAGCCGTGGACGGATCTAGAGAGTGTCATACAGAGTGAAGTAAGTCAGAAAGAGAAAAACAAAGATTGTTTATTAATGCATGTATGTGGAACCTAGAAAAATGGTACAGATGAGCCAGTTTGCAGGGCAGAAGTTGAGACACAGATGTAGAGAACAGACATATGGACACCAAGTGAGGAAAACCGCCATGGGGGATGGTGGGGATGGTGTTGTGCTGAATTGGGCGATTGGGATTGACATGTATACACTGATGTGTATAAAATTGATGACTAATAAGAATCTGCAGTATAAAAAACAATGCAAAAAAAAAGATAGGTGGAAAGATAAAGTTCATGAATTCTCCCAAAAAGATTATAAAAACAGAGAAATTAAAATTGAAAGTCAAAGAAATCAGAGAGTCAAGATAAATGATCTGACATCCAAAATAATAAATTTCAAAAGAAAATCCCATAAAACATAAAAAGACACTTTACCAAAGAAATAATATAAGAAAAATTCCTAGAACTGAAGGACTTGTGTTTCCAGGCAAAAAGGGCTCACAGAGTTTATTGCCCAATGAAAGAAAAAAAAAAAGACTCACACCAAGGTATATCATAAAATTTCAGATTCATTGAATAAAGGAAAGATCCTAAAACACTAAACACTTCCAGAGATAAAACAGATCACACATAAAGAACTGAGAATCAGAATGGCATTGGATTTCTAAAAAAAACACTGGAAGCTAGAAATAAATGAAGAAATGCTTTTGAAATTTTGAGGAAAAATAATTTCCAACCTGGCATGTGTTACCCAGATAAATTATTTTTTTTAAGATTTGTTTATTATTTATTTATTTTATTAATATTTTATTTTTGGGGGGGCTGTGTTGGGTCTTATCTGCAGCACATGGGATCCTCGTTGAAGCATGCGGGATCTTTCATTATGGTGCGCGGGCTCCTCGTTGGAGTGCACGGGCTCCTCACTGGAGTGTGCGAGCTCAGTAGTTGCTGCACGTGGGATCTTAGTTGCCCTGCGGCATGTGGGATCTTAGTTCCCTGACCAGAGATCAAAGCCGCGTCCCCTGCACTGCAAGGCAGATCCCTTACCACTGGACCACCAGTGAAGTCCCTACCCAGCTAAATTACTAATCAAGTGTAAGAAGGGAATAAAGATATTTTCAGACGTGCGAAGTTTCAAAGTATTTCCCTGTTATGCATCCTTTTTCAAGAAGTTATTAGATGTGTTCCACCAAAATAAGAGAATAATCAACAGGTGGGAAGACATGGGATCCAGAAGACAGGAAATCCAAAACGGGTGGGAGACAAAGGAAGTTCTAGGGTGACGGAAAAGCAAGTCCACGGTGACAGCAGAGAAGCAGGCCCAGAAAGAAGTCCAAATTGAAGCAGAAAAATAAAAGGCTTCAAAACAGAAAGTCAGCGAGATAACAAGAAAGAGAAAGGAAATCCTAGATTACCTGGTGTGTTTGAATACGTGGAGAGATGGTTCATATACTTGTCAGAGATTTGTTTGTGGTAAATGAAAATTAAGCAAATAAAAAACAGAGCAATTAACTCCAGCAAAACCAAAATACATAAGAAAGAAAAATGTAAGTATAGTATTACAAAGAGAACAAGGAATTAGTAAATAATACCAAAACAGTCCTAATAATGTAAATGAATATTTATTAAATCCCAAATTGTGATTTAACAATACTGGGGTGTCATGGGGAGGCAAAGTTGGATATGTCTGGGTATGCGTGTGGAAGGAGTAGTGTAGTATTATATGTTTAGATTCCATAGTAAATAATGTCTCAAATTTAAAAATCAAGAAAGAATACTATATAGAAATACAGTGCTAAGTAATGAAAAAAGCAGCTTAAGATTTCAAAATGGGAAACAAGAAATTAGGTGTGGAGCAAAGAAAGTGTGGCTGTTTTTTGGTATAAGCCTTGTAATATTTAGTTTTATTAGTCTTTGTACACTTATTATTTTGATAAAAATAACAAATTAGAAAAAAAAAACGGATCATTTTTACCTGTCCAAGTTCTTCATTCAGATCAGAAGTATTGACTTGAGCTTTCTGATCTGATTCTTCATGATAGAGATCAAGATCCCAGCCAATAAAAAATGATCCAAGAAATTTCTGCATTTCAACTGTCACATATAATGAAATTGGAATGATGAAATTGTAGAGTACCAAAAAAGCAAGGAAGTCTGAAATAAATTTCAGAATCTAGGGGAAAAAAATGATTGCTTGATAAGACAAAAATATGAAGGAAATTATCGGATAGTTTCATATCTCAACAGACCATCAACTATATTCTGAAGCAGAAAAGTCTCATGAAATGAAATTCATTTACTGAATTGTCTTTTTAACAGATTTCCTTTGGTTATTTTATTGCTCATTAGAATCTTGAACAAATTAAAAGAAGAAAGGTTAGAACCAAATTACTTAATTTGTTACTTTTTAGAAGCTACCAGAAAAGCCTGGTGTGACTGAAATTACTTATGACAAAATTATAATTAGAACCTCTGTAGCATACTTACCATTCTATTTCTACACATCAAAATCACAGATAACTAAAAACTGACGGTAATTTTAAAAATGCAAAATAATTGCTAGGCTAGAACTGCTAGAAATTAAAACTCTCAATTACAGATTACACAGGAATAGCCTACTTCAATGGCCTAGCAGTTCCACATTTTAAAATATGTTCTGTAAAAGATAAAATACCTAATTGTAAATGATACTGAAAATATGTTCCTGTGATTATCTGCTTTTTGGTCTCTTGACATTCAAACTTATCTTCCAATATTTGCACTTTAATCTAAAGTGAAATTTGGAGAACAATTTACCAAAACTGCACGTTAACTTCTCCTGGTAGTCCATATTTACTCAGTTTAAAACTTTTTATGACATAATTCGTATTTACTTCATACCACCAATATATTGACAGTAAGACTCCTTGAATTATTCTGATAGAAGTGAAAATTCTATTTACATACAGTAAGTAGAATAAAAATTTCAATTTGTATTACTGAAGTGGAATGCCAATACAGATGACTTAAATGTCTGTGATCTCTTAATTATTCAAGTCATGCCATAGGGAATATAACTGCTTATGCTGTAAAATGTAAAAAGCATACCAGTACAAACATGCTGGCTACTCTTCACGTGCAATAACCTTTTGTCACCCTTCAATAGTGATAGTTTTAGGGACGACAGTGGTCACTCCTATCAGAAGTCACTACCAAAGCATTAAAAGAAATAAAATTTCCAAAGAATAAAATTTTCTTTGTAACAGAGTCAAGAACACCATGAAGTACCTTACTACTATTTCTTTGATGTTCTGTTTTTTGGTTATACCAAGGTTCATCCCATTTTTCTTCAGCTTGCCATGTATATTTCAAGATAGTACTGATGATGGCTTCAGAAATAAGAATTATTAGATAAATTATCAAAAATGTATTCATTGACCTGAAATGAAGAAAGAGAATATAAAATGTATCAATTATATGTTACTATACTCATTTGTTTGGAAATTAACATTGGTATTAAATAAGATACTAAATATCAATATATAAGATATAACGGTAGCTATTTAAAGGACACAGTCTATGTTTTTAAGAAATGACCATTCAATTCAATCCATTTACTAGAAATAAAAGAACAGATACATAAGATTACAAGCATATTTACTATAGTTAACTACTGTTCAAAATGCTTATAGTGGGCTTCTCTGGTGGTGCAGTGGTTAAGAATCCACCTGCCAACGCAGGGACATGGGTTTGAGCCCTGGTCTGGGAAGATCCCTCATGCTGCGGAGCAACTAAGCCCACGTGTGCCACAACTACTGAGCCTGCGCTCTAGAGCCTGCGAGCCACAACTAGAGAAAGCCTGCACACAGCAACGAAGACCCAATGCAGCCAAAAATAAATAAATAAATAATTTTTTTTAAAAAAAAAAAGAAGAAGAGCACATTTCTGCATTAGCGTGTCCCAGGAAGAAGAGAGACATGAGAGGCAACGCTGAGTCATCCCAGCTCCTCTCAGCTGACCCTCAGCCAATCCACTCATCTGTGACAATGAATGGAAGTGAATGAGTTGTAGGACAGTTTATGATGCAGCAATTTGGTGGCAGTAGCTCACTGGTACACCCTCTATGTTAGTACTTCCCCTCAGCCAATAAACCTACCTAAGTCTCCCATTAGGCAGGGAGACTCCCAAAAGTCTTTTCTTTGGGGGGGAAAAAAATTGAAATCTTGCCATCTGTGACAACATGGATGAATCTAGAGGTTATTATGCTAAGTCAGACAGAAAAAGACAAATACCGTATGATCTCACTTATATGTGGAATCTAGAATAACAAAACAGGGACTTCCCTGGTGGTCCAGTGGTTAAGACTCTGCTTTCCAATGCAGGGGGTGTGGGTTCGATCCCTGGTCAGGGAGCTAAGAACACACACACAGTCCCTGGTTGGGACGCTAAGATCCCACATGCCTTAAAAAATCCAAAAACATAAAACAGAAGCAACATTGTAACGAATTCAATAAAGACTTTCAAAAATGGTCCACATCAAAAAAATAAATAAATAAAAATTTAAAAAATTAAAAAACAAAACAAAATGAAAACAGACTCATAGATACAAATAGGTGGTTGCTTGCTGGTATTGGGGGGATGGGTAAAATAGGTGAAAGGGATTAAGAGGTATAAACCTTGGGTTATAAAATAAGTAAGCCATGAGAATGTAATATACAGCATAAGGAATATGGTCAATATTATTGCAGTAACTTTGTATGGGGCCAGACAATTACTAGACTTACTGTGGTCAACATTTCATAATGTATGCAAATGTCAAATCACTATGTACTACACCTGAAACTAACATAATATTTTACGTCAACTATATTTCAATAAATTAAAATTAAATAAATAAAAATGAGAAACCATCCCTATCTTCAAGGATACCATCGTTTGTTGACTTGAAATATATATTTTTATATACATATTTTCTACATATAGAATAATATACATAGCAATAGTAATATTGGGACTTCCATGGTAGCTCAGTGGTTAAGACTCTGCGCTCCCAATGCAGGGGGCCTGGGTTTGATCCCTGGTCAGGGAACTAGATCCCACATGCATGCCACAACTAAGAGTTCACATGTTGCAACTAAGGAGCCCTCAAGCGACAACTAAGGACCTGCCTGCTTCAACTAAGACCCAGTGCAAGAAAATAAATTAATTTTTTAAAAGTCCTATTTATGTGTAAATAAATGAAAATAGTTTTCTTACTTTTCTACTGCAGATCGTTTCTGTGATTTGCTCTTGTAATTTAATGCCATCTTAGTTTCCATTCCAGTATACACAGCAACACCTGCAAAACAAACAGTCTTAAGATAATCCTCTACCATGTTTCACAAAAGAAATGTACTCACTAGCACGAAAGAAAATCTAAGAAACTGTATCATCTGAGAGTTGTCAGAATTTGGCTTTCCTTTAAGTCTTTCTGGAGTTTTTTTTAAAAGGCTTTCCAAGTGCAATTTTGGGAAATTCCAGTCATTCAACCGGTTGAATGAGGAAGGCATGTGGGTTCTGTTCCTGAATTATAACTGGGATATCTGAATGAAAGAGGTATTATTTGAGTTGGAATGGATGGAGGAAAGAATTCGGAAAGATAAAGAAGGCAGGGAAGGCCATTACAGACAGAGCAAACAGTGTTAACAAAGACAAATAGAAAAGCGCTTTCTGTTAGGCTGTAACAATGGATTGGCGTCAGTTTGAAAGACCTTGAATGCCAGAATCTGGAGTCTAGACATAATCTCATAAGCACTGGAAAGATAATATGGAATGTCAGAGTAAATGAAATAAACACAAGGAAAGTGCTATTTTAAAAATATGTGCCTACGTGAATGACTGAGATGAGAATGACAGTAATAAGGGGACTAAAACTGGGGTAGGACCAGTCTTATTTAAAAACTTTGGAGTTAGAGCTTGGTTTGAAGGCTAGCTCTGCCACTTATCAGTTCTGTGACCTTGAGTAAGTTATCTAATCTTTCTGAGTCTCAATTTCCCCATCTTTAAATGGGAAAAATACCTAATAAAACTGGTATGAGAGTTGTGTGGCAGATTAGCAAAATGCCTAGAAACAGAAAGACGATCAATAATTGGAATTTTCACTATTGGAATTATCCTTCCAAGGCAGGGATTACAACTCAAATGATAAAGGGCACCAAAATTATAGAAATGTGAGAAATGAGACAAAATGGTACAACACAGAGAGGTGGTGCTGAGGAAAACAACAGCAGACCCATTTAAAGGCATTCAAATACACGTTTCCTAAATTGAGTGTGAAAGGTGTTACTGCTAGAGAGGTGTTAAAATACAGCATTACACGAGAGGGCCTAAAAGCCCTGGAGGTTTTCTCTGGCTTCTGCCATTAAAACTTTACTATGGTCCCCTTTTTAAAACTGTGGTAAAATACACATAACATACAGTTTACCTTTTTAATACAATTCAGTGGCACTTAGTTACATTCACAATGTTGTGCAACCATCCTATCTAAGTTGAGAATATTTCATCACCCGCCCCCCCGCCAAAAAAATCCTGTACCAATTAAACAATCATTCCCAATTCCCCTCCACTCCCCAGATGCTGGGAACCACTAATCTACTTTCTGTCTCTATGAATTTGCCTGTTTTGGGTTTTAAGTATAAATGGAATCATACAATATGTGGCCTTTTGTGTTTGACTTCGTTCACTAAGCATAATGTTTTCAAAGTTTATATATGTTGTAGCATATATCAGTACTTCATTTCTTATGGATGAATAATACTCCATTACTTAGATATCCTACACTTTGTTTATCCATTCATTAGTTGGTAGACATTTGGGCAGTTTCTACCCTTTGGCTATTGTGAACAGTGCTGCTATGAACATTCTCATACAAGCCTTTGTTTGAGCACCTGTCTTCTTCAATTCTTTAGGGTATATAGCTAGAAGCAGAATTGCTGAGTGATACAGTAATTCTATGTTTAACTTATTGAGGAATTGCCAAACTATTTTCCACAGCAGCTGCAACATTCTACACTCCCACCAGCAATGTATGAGGGTTCCAGTTTCTCCACATTTTTGCCATACTAGTTATATTCCTTTTTAAAAAATATATGGAATTCTTTATCAGAGAGCCTAATACTGAGAGATAAGATACAGTACAGTTAACAGGAAAGAAGAGACTGAGGAAGAAGAGCTCAAAAGCTGTAAATATTCAGTGAATAACACAAGCTGGCCAGAATATGACGGGCCATTCCTGAAAGGCGAGGAGCCAGTTGACAGCTACAGGTTATCACTGACTTCACAATTTACCTAGAGTTGACTCAAAGCATAATGAATCAGTTTAGCTCGACAATGCAAGAGCACTATTTATTCATCCTTTTGATCCAGTCAGTGTATGTTCCAACAGTATCTGTTATATAGTCACAGATCAATAAGAATTCATTGAATGAATAAACAGATGAACAAATGAGTCAGCAGTTTTAACAATCCAATCTAAGAATAATCATAATGGAATTTTATACAAGTGGTTTACTGCACCAAGGTGTCAGAGTATATAGTTCTCAACACCATTAACAGAAGTGCCAGAATTATCTTAGCATGGAGTATTCACGAAGAAAATATAAGAGCAAGGTTCTAACCTATTACTCAAAAATAGGAATTAAGAAAAAATATAACACAAAATTATATTAATACAATCTTTGAAAGAAAATTATCATAGACAATACATTATCTAACCAAAAGACCACAAATACTGTGCTTTTAAAAATACTTCATATAAAGCATCAAAACGAATCTATAATTTAAAATTTTCAATATATACAAACCAAAAATTTCTTTTGTGTTTTTTAATCTGGCTCCACGAAGCAAGAGACTCTCTGGCCCCAGAGGTCTAGGGAAAAAATAACCAAAATCATTGAATATATTAAAATTTCAATTAAATTTTAAAATGGCATCTTTAACAGACAGAAGGTACTTCAGCTATACTTATAACAATGCTTTCATATAAAACCAAAATCTCTGCTACTGTAAAGCTGTCGAGGTCAATCATGCTGCTAGTTACCATAACAACAAATATCTGCCTTAGCATTTCAGTCATTTTAAGATCAATGGCTCAGAAATAAGACTATGCCTGTAGATAAAATCACAAAGCCACTTGTTTCAGAAGTTTAAACATAAAACTCAACAAAACCAAAAATTAAGCAATGATTTTAAAATGTTTTACACAAGATAAAATTCTGAGCAAAATCAATTAACATTTTTCAAAGGGAAAATACAGAATTAAAATGCAGTGTAAACAGGTTGTGTGAAGAATAAAATGCAAAATAAACATAAATTGTAGTATGATTTGTATATAACTGCATGAGTTCTGCACAATTAAAATTATACTAGGTTATAGAAGATAACATAGTAAGTGAGTTAGTACTTTTTCTAGGCAAGATCAACACTACAACTTGACTACTTGCATTGCATACTTCTTGGAGCACAGGTCTTCTTGCTGTTTGAATTTCTCTCCATAAAGGAGATATAAAACGAGAAGAAATAACTAGAAAGGAAAATTGTATTTTCTTAGTGATAGCAAATGATAAGACTCTGGTATGGATAAGTAAAAAAGCCTTGATTTTGTTGATATTCCTTATCATAAGGCTTTTCTGAAATATACATACACAGTTATCCAAATCAAACAGAATCTGAACCAATTCTGAAGAGGTCTGCAAACCTAAACACTGTAAAAAAAATAATCCAATGAACACAGTCGGTGGGGGGCCAGGTGTTTGGGCTATGGTTAACAAGTATGGTTTTATTATATAGTCGTATCTGGAGCACCCTGAATGGATATTCCAAAATCAATTATTCAGGAGCCATATTATAGCTCTTTTCTACTTGGTTTTGGTTCCAGCAATGAATAGAAAAACTTTGAGCTCATGTTGGCATATAAAATTGGGATATAATGATAGAAAGCTTCAAATTAAAAGATAATTCATCAGTTCACTCTGGTTGCTTTAGCAAAGAACATGGCTCTTTTTTTTTTAAAAAACCATTCTACCTGCTAAGGTAACATAATTGATCTTTTCCTTTACCAGCCACAATATCTTAATGCAATCCATACTACGTATCCACACATGCATCCCAATATGTCACTGTAGAAATCAAAATAAAACCCAGTCACTGTTATTCAGCAGGGGTCCTACACTTAAAAAGACCTTGTTACAGTTTATTGAACGTGCTCCTGTATTGACTTTTATTAAAAGTGTGAATCCATGCTGATGCATATTTTTGGTAGCTTGTCTTGAGGATTTCATTTTTAAAAATTCTCAACTCTTTATGTCAGTGACTTATTTCATGCAGTCAGTATAAATTGAACGTCTCCAGAAAAGAGGTGGAGTGCTAAGTTAACTAGAAGTTCAAGGGCTGATTCCAAGGTTTTTTCTAAATTCAGCTTTGTGGTCATGAGTAACAATGTAATCTCACCCTATCAGAAAATCTTTGAAATGAGCCAAAGCCTTTCATGTAGGTACCAGAAATTAACCTGAATATTGAGGGAAAACAAATCAAAACAACCAACCAACCAAATAACCAATCAGAAGAGTATATAAGAAGTTACTGGCCAATAAATACTCTAGTTTGTAAGGAATGATCTTGAAGTGAAGAAGACCATAATATTTTTATTTGTTAAACATTACATAAGACATTTTTTGTATTAGAGACTTATGTGGTGGTACGTTTAGATGTGTAAGGATCTGGATAGGGACCACTATGATTCCTTTATGTTACTACCCAATATATCAGACAAAGAAATATGAGTAGACAAATAATCTTACTAAATGTTTTTGATGTCATTTCCTGGCATTTGCTTCATCCTCATCTCATCTGCTGCTGCTAGAAATTACTAGAAGATGAAATGCTAAATGTTTTTAAATTAACCCTTTCCCATGATATGGGATATGGATATACTTGATTTTAGTCCCTCCCCCAAACAATTCTCACTTATAAGCGATTGGATAATACAAATTTATTCTTACCTTACAATTTCTTCCATTTGTTGAGTTATTATCATTCGTCCCATGAATCTATCAAAGAATTCACTATGTTACAAAAAAACTAATGAATGATACATTACTTATGACATCAATGGGTGGAAAATTTTAAGACAGTTCTGGCACTATTCTTAGATACGAAACAAAACCAACCTTTTGCATATATGAATGGTCCAATATTCATGTTAGAAATTACAAAGGTAAATCAGTCATTAAGCTTTAAAAAATTAATATTCTTAGAGTCCCAGGGAGCGATCAGGGGTGCTGTTTGTCTTACCATCCTCTTCTGCTTCACCCCTTTCCCTTTCCTGAACTGTTTTGTGGAGGAGCAGTGTAAAGCCTTCCCTCACTATGAAGTGTGCTCCTTGCCATCTGCTGCATAATCTTCCTGGGCTTCGCAGATGATGTACTGAATCTGCACTGGCGCTATAAGCTGCTGCTGCTGCCCACAGCTGCCTCACACTACTTCTCCTCATGGTCTATTTCGCCAACTTTGGCAACACGACCTTTTTGGTACCCAAGCCTTCTGCCCAATTCTTGGCCTGCATCTAGACTTGGGGATCCTGTACTATGTCTACATGGGGCTGCTGGCAGCGTTCTGTACATGACCCTCGTCAACTTGCTACTTAAAGTCTTTGGGCCCATGCATTAGAGAAACCTCACTCTGTTCCTGCTGCTGCTACATGTCATGGGCAGTGTTGTCACCTTCTCCAATGGGTACCAGCTTGTCGAACTCTTCTGTGATGTCTGAGTCCCCTAATCCACTGCCCTTTGCTTCACAGCCTCCAGGGTTCCTGACTCAGGCTGACCTCTTCTGGATCAAGACTGCCTCTGGGCTCAGGCCTCTCCCACCCTTCATTCTCCTTCAGATTTTGTACTCAACATTTCCTTTCCCCTGTGATTACTGACATCCTGGGCTTTTCTTGCCCTCTAATGACTACTGATTGGACTTTGCCTATGGCTTTCTTCAACTTGCCACTCTGCCCTCTCCGTCCCATCTCTGCGCCCTTCTAAGGTGGGACACTGTAGCTTTTATGCAGTTACCCACAACTCTGACACTCAAGGAATACGTTGGGCCTGGGGATAGAGGACACAGGCTCCTGGCTGGGGATAAGGACACAGGCTCAAAGATGACTTGACATTTGACTATAAATTAAGTATTCTGATGATTAAGAGCAGGCTGGGGGCGCCAGGTGTTCCAAATGGTGACAAGAAAGTATTGTCTTTAAAAAAAAAAAAAAAATTCTTGCCATCTCTACTCCAGCTATAAGCAAACTAATGAATGAAAAAATGTTTTCAAAATGGCAATGCAAATGTAATATACCATTATGATTATCAGTTTGGTCATGATGAGACTTTATAATTGCTACACAGAGATGCATATATTATTTAGCCAACAATGAATGCTCATACATTTTTATCACAGTTTACTAAATAAAGACTCCGGTAACCAGAATCATTCATTCACTCATTCACATACTTATTCATGCACTCATTTATCCAACAAATATTCACTGAGCAAACTACTATGTGTGAATTACGTGTGGAGGGTAGAGTAGTAAGTAAAAAAACTACTAGTGACCTCCAGAGCTTCTTTAACTTTTGGTTTCCTGAAATTTAGAGTGAGTGGCCTGTTGTTATAATGAATTTTCATAGCTTGGCCTTTTAGTTCCAATTTCCACTACCAAAACAGCTCCATAGCACAAAGTCAACTCAAGTGAAAAATTACTTTCTATAATAGTGAGAGGTAAATTCTGAGTTGAAGCAAATTCTGGGCAGAGCCTCACGTTAATCATTTAACTATGCAAAGAAGTATTAAGCATGACTTTCCAAATGTCCCCTGTTATCCCTCCTGTTTCCAGGTTACAGATGCTTCACCCCTTGTAGACTTTGGATTCATTATTTCTTGCTAATCTCTTACTTCTTCTTCCTTCAGCCTCCTGTATCAGGGAGAAGCACTGCTTTTTTTTTTTTTTTTTTTTTTGCGGTACGCAGGCCTCTCACTGTTGTGGTCTCTCCCGTTGCGGAGCACAGGCTCCGGACACGCAGGCTCAGCGGCCATGGCTCACGGACCTAGCCGCTCCGCAGCATGTGGGATCTTCCCAGACCGGGGCACGAACCTGTGTCCCCTGCGTCGGCACTGTGCCACCAGGAAAGCCCTGTTTTTTTTTTTTTTTTTTTTTTGCTGTGCCGCGTGGCATGCGGGATCTTAGTTCCCCAACCAGGGATCGAACCCATGCCCCCTGCAGTGAAAGCATGGAGTCTTAACCACTGGACCGCCAGGGAAGTACTGATTTTTAATTATCTCTACTTAACGGAATTTTATGTAGCTCTGGTTTGAGCCTCAAACTTTGGATTTAGATTCAAAGAGCCAATTCAGCTGGTGACTCCTAGACCCTGTTCAGAGATAATGTGTGGTCAGTCTTTCGATTTTCCTGAGCCAAATGGCAACAAGAGACCTGTTCTCCTTCATTTTACCTGTCCCGTTATCCTTGATTCAAAAGCACTTCTTGTATTTGTTCATGCCAGTACCATGCTGGATTAACTCATTCTGCACTTTCCATAGTCCTTTCTCCAAACCCACACTATGATTTGTTTCAAAATGGAAAAGAGCTTTATTATTCTTTACTGATTATAAAGACTGAATACACTCAAATACACATACTTTATAAAATGATTCAGACGATGTAAAAAGACGACAAAAAGGAAACAACAATCATCAGTAACCCCACTACTCAAATAAAACATTATTAATATTTTGAGGTATGTTTTCCAGGCTTTTTTTCCATGCATATATAAATATGTATGTATCTTAAAAACAAAAATGGGATACCATAAATATTGTTGGTAATATTTTCTCCCCCCTTAACATGTCCTGTGAAAAATACAGATCCAGGGCTTCCCTGGTGGCGCAGTGGTTGAGAGTCCGCCTGCTGATGCAGGGGACATGGGTTCGTGCCCCGGTCCGGGAAGACCCCACATGCCGCGGAGCGGTTAGGCCCGTGAGCCATGGCCGCTGAGCCTGCGCTCCGCAACGGGAGAGGCCACAACAGTGAGAGGCCCGTGTACCGCAAAAAAAAAAAAAAAAAACAGATCCACATCATTACTTTTAATGGCCACACATAGCATTGTATTTTGGGGTCACTGCATAATTTATTTAAGTAATTCACTACTGACAGAAGCTTAGGTTTTTTCCCAACTTATGGATAGTCTAAACAATACAGCCCCAAACAAGCCAGTGTACATATCTTTTCACATTTGCATTAAGATATCTTTTTTTTTTTTTTGCAGTATGTGGGCCTCTCACTGTTGTGGCCTCTCCCGTTACGGAGCACTGGATCTGGACGCGCAGGCTCAGCGGCCATGGCTCAAGGGCCTAGCCGCTCCGCGGCATGTGGGATCTTCCCAGACTGGGGCACGAACCCGTGTCCCCTGCATCAGCAGGCAGACTCTCAACCATTGTGCAACCAGGGAAGCCCAAGATATATTTCTAAAAGCAGAATATCATTATTTTGTTAGGAAAAATTCCCAGAAGTAGAACTGATGAGTTGGAGTCTACAAAAAATAAAGAGAATAGAAAGAATTAAAAAAAAAGAACAAAAAGAGCAAAGGAGCCAAGGAAAGAGACTATGGAGAATACTGTGAAATAGGCACCTGCTAGAGGCTGTACCTAAACAGAAGACTCTCCTAGTTTTTATTTCTTCCAGTGGTTGGGCAGAGATAATTTCTTAACCGTACTCTAGCCTCTCCTCAATAAGCTGTTAAAGTTTTCTAAAAGGAAATAATGTGGACTTCCCTGGTGGCGCAGTGGTTAAGAATCTACTTGCCAATGCAGGGGACAAGGGTTTGAGCCCTGGTCCGGGAAGATTCCACATGCGGCAGAGCAACTTAGCCCGTGCACCACAACTACTGAGCCTACGCTCTAGAGCCTGTGGGCCACAACTACTGAGCCTGTGCTCTAGAGCCCGCCAGCCACAACTACTGAAGCCCGTGCACCTAGAGCCCGTGCTCTGCAACAAGAGAAGCCACCACAATGAGAAGCCCGTGCACCACAATGAAGAATAGCCCTCGCTCGCCGCAACTAGAGAAAAGCCCGTGTGCAGCAACAAAGACCCAATACAGCCAAAATTAAGTAAGTAAATAAATTTATTTAAAGAAAAATAAAAAGGGAAATAATGTAACCACTGTTAACTAATAGGTAACTAGGAAGGAACTGACAATATCCAAAGGAGAAAAGTTAATAAACACAGAAAAATGTTCAGCTTTTCTTTTTTTTCTTTCCTTCCTTTTTTTTCTTGGCCGTGCTGCATGGCTTGCAGGATCTTAGTTCCCCAACCAGCGACTGAACTCAGACCCCGGGAGTGAAAGCGCCGAGTCCTAACCGCTGGACTGCCGGGGAACTCCCTGCTCAGCCTTTTTAGTAAAACAATAAATTAAAACTAGTTTTAAAACTATAAAACTATTATCTACAAAATCAGCAAAAATTTTAAAACTATAATACTTAATACTAGGGACTTCCCTGGTGGCACAGTGGTTAAGAATCTGCCTGCCAATGCAGGGGACACGGGTTTGAGCCCTGGTCCAGGAAGATCCCACATGCTGCAGAGCAACTAAGCCTGTGCGCCACAACTACTGAAGCCTGTGCACCTAGGGCCTGTGCTTCGCAACAAGAGAAGCCATCGTAATGAGAAGCCCACACACTGCAACGAAGAGCAGCCCGCACTCACTGCAACTAGAGAAAGCCCGCGCACAGCAACGAAGCCCCAACACAGCCAAAAATAAATAAATAAATTTTAAAAAGCACGAAAAACAAAACTTAATACTTGTAACATTTTGAAACAATAATAAGCCTCATAAACTTATACTTAGCTCATAGCAATAAAAATTAATCCAATGTTTTTGGAAAGTAATGTGTCAGTAGGTTTAATAAAGGCCAAATTCGATTAGGGTTTTAATCTAATAATTCCACTTTTGCAGCTCTGTCTGTTCTTAGGGAATAATCTAGTATTAGATTATTAACTCTAGGAGTCAGGAGCTATCACTGTTTCCTTACTGCTGCATTCCCAGTATCTAGCACTATGCCTCAGTTATTGGAGGCACTCAATATATGATGAATAAATGGGCAATAAAAATGTTCTCAAATCCTTTGATTAAGTAATACTGTGGAACTCTTATCATTCATTTACTCATTCAACAGATATTTATTGAGTGTCTATTCTGTTCTAGGTATTTCAATTCAACAGTTAAGTGAATTGTAACACACACAAATCTTAGTTGCATATATCACAGAATTCAATAAAAGGAAAAACTTAAGTGCATAAAATTAAGTCCATAAAGATATTTATTCTTTTCAACTGTCAACAAACATGTAGTAAGGCCTCCTATATGCCAGATCTGTTCTAGGTGCTTGGGATACATCAGTGAACAAAACACACAAAGATGTCTGTCCTTGAGTTTACAATTTAGTTGGAGAAGGAGATAATAAGCAACAAACATAATAAATAAGTACATTACATAGCATACTAGAAGGTATTATGTGCTATTAAAAAAAAGCAGGAGAGAGTAAGAAGGATTAAGTCACAGTATTAAATAGTCAAAGTAGGCCTCACTGAAGAGGTGATTTTAAGCGAAGACTAGAAGGTGGTAAAGGAGTTAGATAAAGAACAGCTAGTGAAAAGGTAGAAGTGGATATGGCATTTTCAAGGGAAAATAAGGAGGCCAGTGTAGCTCGAGGGTGAGGCACGAGGGAGAAGGGTCAAAAATTAGATCAGAGATCAGTTGGGGATGGAGGCAATCAGTTAGATCATTATAAAGATATGAGTGAGACAGAAAAGCCATTGTAAGGTTTGGGCAGAGGAATGCTATGATCTGACTTACATTTTAAAAGGATGACTCTGGCTGCTTTTGTGAGAACAGACAGACTGCAAGGGAAAGAAGAGTAAAAGCAGAAAAACCAGTAAGGAAGCCTTTGATAGCAGTAATCCAAGCAGAAGATAATGCTGGTTTGGATCAATTGAGTAGCAGAGAAGGGGGTGAAAGATGGTCAGGTTTTGGATGTATTTTGAAAGTAAACCAATATGATATTCTGATGGATTGGGATGAGATGTGGCAGAGAAGGTGAGAAGAGGTGAGCAGAGAGGGGATGAAGGAGTCATGGCTGACTCCAAGATTTCTGGCCGGAACAACTGAAAAGATGGACTGTCATCAGCTGAAATGGGAATGGCCGTTAGCATAAAAACTTCTGGAGGAAAGATCAGGAATTCAGTTTTCAACGTGATTAATTTGATATTTTTTACTAAATATCCAAGTGGAATTGCGGAACAGGAAGTTGGATATAAGAATCTGAAGACTAGGGAAGAAATCTGGGATTGAGATATAAATTTGGAGTCATCAGCATATAGATGGTTTTGAAAGCCATCAGCCAGGATGAGATCACAAAGAGTGAGTTCAGATAATGAAAGGTATAGGTAGAGGAGGGAAGAGGACTGAGGATAGTCCTGGGGCACTCTAACATCAAGAAGTCATAGAGAAGAGGAGAAATCAGCCAAAGAGATTGAGAAGGAGGGACTACTGAAGTAAGAGGAAAATCAAGAGAGGGAGATGTCTTGGAAGCCAAGTGAACAAGCTGTATCAAAGAGGAGGGAATGATGAACTATCTAACTACTGGATTCTGAGTTGGTGAACTTATATGTAATAAGGTGTCATGCAATACTTCTAATAGCAAAACAATGGAAGAGTTAAGTATGGAAAGACTGGGGAACCGTTAGGTTCTAGTACGTTTACTTAGACTATTATGCAGCCATTAAAAAAGATCATTAAGAATACTGTGTAGTAAGATGGAAAATACTTTAAAAAAACCACAAGGGCAATCCATATTCTTTCAAGAAATATTAGAAAATATGGAGAACAAAAAAGGTGATTAAAAAGCAGCTGAAATCGTACCACCAAGAAATAAGTACTAACATTCTGACATGTAATTCCTCTAGGTTTTTCTTTCTCTCTATACCTATTTATTTTTTCTATCTAACTACCTAACTACCTATCAAATACACATACATACATATTTCTTTTTATATAATTGGGATATGAGACTACAGCTCTATAACATTTTATTCAACATTGTATTTCAGTATGTTGCTATGTCATTAAATTCTTTGAAAGCATCATTTTTATTACCTACCTAATTCATCTTACATCTATACCATAAAGCCATTTAACCATTCCTCCTACTTGGACATTAAAAATTTTAAACATCAATATTTCCCTTATAAATAGCATATAGTATGGTACAGTAAACTGAAAAAATACAGTTAGAGATATATAAAATATCTTTACAGCTGTGAGTTCCTCAAGGATGGAAACTGTGCTTATTAATCTTATTTATCACTTATCATAATGAGCACAAAGGTGCTCAACAATAATTTGTTGAATGAATGAATAAAAACAGCAATAAAAATTTTAAAGTAGTGGCATAATTAATTATGAGTTATTTTTCTATTACAAAAGTCTTCTGTAGTAATTACATTTGTATTTTAAAAAAACCCATATACTTTCAGTAAGGAAGAGGAAAAGAGAAAATAAAGAGGAATACCTTATATTCAACAGTGAATTATTTCTTATTTAACAAAAATATTTTTAAACTTTCTCCCCATTTTCCAAATAACGTAAAACCACCCACGAAAGCATTAGTTACATTTGATCTCATATTAATCTTATGCTTTCTTAATGCTGCATCATTTTCTAGTTTTTAATACTAATCTTTTAATAATTCACCCTTGTCTGAGACTTGGAAATAACAGCAATAGAGAACTCTTAAAGTACTAAATTCTTCACAGTTAAATCTATCTTATAATTTAAATGCTCTTAAAGCATAGAAGTCCAAATTTTTACAGTTAATTGGAAAACTCCATATTGTATCCATATTTGACTTTGATGAAAATGCAAGATTTTTATAATATCACAGAGAAAACTCCATTATAAATATATGGATCCAGAATAAAGATATGTAAGACATCTGAAAAATCCAATGACTAGTGATAAGATTTTAAAACATTTCAACCAACAAATGGAGATGGAGAATATGACAAGAAGCTGAGGGTAATTTTTACAATGTGGTTATAGTTTATATTCTATCACCAGTTATTGAGTAAAAATGAGTAGTTTCTCATGGAAGTCTTTAATAATAAAAAGTTGTTTCCGTTCCATAGACCACAATAATTAGCACAGCACTCACTGAAAGATGACTTACACTGTATTAATATTTAGTAAATTGTAATGTTAAAAGTAGTTAGTTCCTATTGAACATAAAGACATGGCCCTTGCCTTCATGGAGCACATATATACACATGCACTCACACACGCACACCATTAGATTATTTTCTTCTAAGGAAATAATCTTATTTCTGTTGTAACTACTATTATAGTTATAAAGTTTATTGCTATTGTTATAAAGCCAATTCATACCAAAGTAGAAGGTAATAGGAAAGAACATGTGACTAAAAGCATGGCTTTTGAATTAATACTTTGGCTTAGAATTCTGGCAAATTCTGCTTTTAGCTTTTTTCCCCTTTAACTGATCTCCCACCTTGCTCCCCCCAATAATGTCAATTAGCTAACTATCTCAGTGCACGTTTATCATTGTAAAAATGAAATCTGTAAACAGAACTTAAAATGAGCATGGTGATTATCACACCATACCTGTACAAGTCTGCTTCTGGTTGCTGACATTCTATCACAGCTATAAGAGTGTCCAAATTGGCAACTGTCTGTAATACTGCTGTTTCTGGAACTGCCACATGGGTCTGAAAAAAAGAAAAATTAAATCACAGTTTTGAGATCTACATGGAACTTTAGGTAACATTTATTTCAAACCTCTTTTACATATGAAATCACAGCATTCTGTAGCTGAGATCACTTAGCTAGATGGCAGAAGAGAAAGAAGAATGTAAAATAACAAGTAGTAAAAGGAGCTACTGTGATTACCTGTCTACAGAGGACATTTGCATACCAGGAAATTTAAGTCTGTGTTAACAATCATTACTGCTCTAAGTTTATTATAAAAAATTTAATAGGGGGAAAAAAGTGTATCAAATAAAATCCTTGATTGTATTAATACTTTGAAAACTGAGAAAAATGTAAATGTGTCCCGTATCTAAAAAAGCACCAATGTATTAGAAGATTATTTTTTTCCTAAAAACACTTTTCGCTTTTCTTAAACTTGACTAAATTATGTGAGGCTCCCCTTGAAGTAAATGTATAATAACATTATTTCTTTAAAAAAAACTTAACTTTTAAAAAGTTTCAGTAATTTAAAACATTTCTCCTTTATCAGGTCAAACTTTATTACCTTAACCAAAGGAAAGTATTACTATAATCCAAAGACATTTTGTTCACCAAGAGCGACACTCAAACATAAGCATGTACAAACCTTCAGGTTAGTTTCTCCATCCAAGCTAGCAGTTGTAACGTGACAAGAACCATCAAGTCGATCTGAGGACAGAAGCACCAAATCTGCAGGGAAAATTTCATCTTTGGCTACTCGAACAATATCACCCACCTATGAAGAATTTTGGGGAAAAGTGGATATACAGATTTTAAAAGGCAAAGACTAAATTTTATTGAGTTCTAAACAAGTGGTCTATCATAATATTTTAATGTAGGAAAGCAGACTTTTAACTAAAACAATCAGAGAATTTGTGATTTCAAAATATTATTGATTTCTATTATTTACTAAGTGCATACCCGAATGTTTTTTGATCTAGTTTTTACAAGGCCACCACTTCGAACAACATAAACAGGAGCTCCATTTACTTCATTATCTGAGTTATGTCTTAACCAATCTTCATATCCCTGTAAACATCAAAAGAATAAAAAATGCCCCTCTTAGTATTAGAAGATACTTTTTATCAAATGAGAAAAAGAAACATAAAAATTTCCCCCAAACATTTCATTTATTAGAATTATGTTAGGCTACCTGACTCAGGTATTTGACATTCATCACTACTAGAAACACTCTTTTCTCTTGGTTTTCATCACATACATGTTCCTGGTTTTCATACTATCTCTCTAATTACTCCTCCTCAGTTTCCTTACAGGAGGCTCCTTCTATGTCACCTTAATGGGCTTTTTTTGCACCGTTCACTTTCTCATTACCAGATTTCTTCTATCCCTGTGTCTTCAAAAAGTTCTGAAATTTAGGGACTTCCCTGGTGGTGCAGTGGTTAAGAATCTGCCTGCCAATGCAGGGGACACGGGTTCAAGCCCTGGTCTGGGAAGATCCCACATGCCGTGGAGCAACTAACCCCGTGTGCCACAACTACTGAGCCTGCGCTCTACAGCCCGCGAGCCACAACTACTGAGCCCACGGGCCACAATTGCTGAAGCCTGTGCACCTAGAGCCTGTGCTCTGCAACAAGAGAAGTCACCTCAATGAGAAGCCCACGCTCTGCAACGAAGAGTAGCCCCCACTCACCGCAACTAGAGAAAGCCTGCACACAGCAACAAAGACCCAATGCAGCTAAAAATAAATAAATAAATTTATATAAAAAAGGGGAAACATAAGTATTTCACAAAGAATCCTTTGATTAAATGTTAAAGAGTGGTAATTTTTAAAAAATATTTATTTATTTTTTATTTGCTTGCACTGAGTCTTAGTTGTGGCAGGAGGGCTCCTTAGTTGTGGCTTGTGGGCTCCTTAGTTGTGGCTCACTAGCTCCTTAGTTGTGGCATGCATGTGGTATCTAGTTCCCTGACCAGGGATCAAAACCAGGGCCCCTGCATTGGGAGCGTGGAGCCTTATCCACTGGAAAAGACTTATGCTATTTTAGAGAAAATTCAAGCACTCAGAGGTATAGCACAAGTATAGATAATGGAATGATATCTAAGAAGTAACATTAAGTGATAAAAGTAAGGTACAGAATGTGTTGTAGTCTATGCTATCATTTGTGAAAAATATATGCTTACTAATGTGAACACTTTGTATAGATACCTGGACTAATGTACAAATAATGGCTCCCTCAGGGGAGGAGAACTAGGAGACTAAGGGATAGGAGCATAAGAGACTTTTACTATATGTTATTTAATTAATTAATTTATCTATTTGGTTTACAATAGCCAGGACATGGAAGCAACCTAACTGTCCATTGACGGATGAATGGATAAAGAAGATGTGGCACATATATACAATGGAATAGTACTCAACCATAAAAAAATGAAATTGAGTTATTGGTAGTGAGGTGGATGGACCTAGAGTCTGCCATACAGAGTGAAGTAAGTCAGGAAGAAAAAAACAAATACCGTATGCTACATACATGTGGAATCTAAAAAAAGAAATTTAAAAAAAAGGTTCTGAAGAACCTAAGGGGAGGACAGGAATAAAGACGCAGACATAGAGAATGGACTTGAGGACACAGGGAGGGGGAAGGGTAAGCTGGGACGAAGTGAGAGAGTGGCATGGACATATATACACTACCAAAAGTAAAAAGCAGTTCGGTGCTTTGTGACCACCTAGAGTAGAGGGGTGGGATAGGGAGGGTGGGAGGGAGGGAGACACAAGGAGGAGGAGATATGGGGATATATGTATATGTATAGCTGATTCACTTCATTATAAAGCAGAAACTAACACACCATTGTAAAGCAATTATACTCCAATACAGATGTTAAAAAAAAAATTATTTGGCTGTGCTGGGTCTTAGTTGCGGCATGTGGGATCTTCGTTGCAGCATGCAGGATCTTTAGTTGTGGCATGTGGGATCTAGTCCCCTGACCAGGGACTGAACCCAGGCCCCCTGCATTGGGTGCACACAGTCTAAACTGCTGGACCACCAGGGAAGTCCCTATATGTTATTTTATACTGTTTCCATTTTTAAAAAATATGTGCATCTATTACCTAAAACTATTACAACACTATAAAATATAAAACAAATACTAAAGATTGCTCTGAAGGTCTATGTTTTTCAGGGAGAATCCTTTTGGGAAAGCATTTTTAAGACACAAATTATGCTGGCTCAATTTAAGATGTGGTATGTCAATTTTAGAGAAATTTAATTGAGAGTCAAAATACCTTTCCTGAAACTGTCAAAAAGCATACTTTTATAGTCAGATGACATCAATAAAGCAATAATTTTAAAATTATCTTTTTCTGAAGTTATCATTCCATTTACTTCCATTGACAAATTTAAACTAAAACAAAAATGTATTAGAAATCTTTGGCTTACAAGTACAAATGAAAAAGTATCATTACATACAATCTATGATACAAAATAGACTGCTTTTTCACAAGAGCAGTCATAAGCAGATTTACTTAGGGTTTTATTTTGATTTTTTAAAAATCTGTTTTGTTTTGCTTTGTTTTTAGCAGTTACACAGCGATTTTATAGTGCAGGGATTTCAAGTGCTAACATAATTTCTGATTTTTCAATTGAAAACTCTAGAGACCATTTCTTGATGTTTCCTACCCTGGAAAATGTTGTTTCCCTTGATTCTTCAGACTCTGTTGTTCTTACATTCCTAATTACCTTTCATATCTTGCTTACTATTATTCTTTTGTGTAGATACACTTGTCTCCCAAAATCCAAATATGTATCAGCAACAACTCTAAACAGTTGGGGAGGCATACAGTTAAAATCTTTTTAAACACAAGTTCACAAACTATAATTCATCCTACATGTCACTGCCAGATTAAGCTTTCCAAAACACTGTTTTAATTCACTATCCTGTTCAAACCCCTCCTGACAACTCTCAAAGAGTCTTCCAGCCTCTTTAATTTAGTACCAACATCCATTTCCAGTATGTTATCTTTTAGTACATTCCTACACAGGGTCAAACATTAGTCAGATATGTCATTCCCTAAAATAAGTCTTGCCTTTTCTTCCATTTAAGCCTTTGCTCAAGTTGTTTGTTTCTATCTCACCTTCTTTACCAACTATCATTTTATCCATATTCCAAAGTCTCATCTCTAATATTTCTTCCATGAAGCCTTCCTTGATTATCCAGATGAAGTGTTCCACCCTTTCTCTGAATACCTACAGCTCACTGGCTCTTTCTATGATCTTATTAAACTATAATTATTTTTGTATTTGGTCTTACCTTCTCTACTTCATACGTTTTAAGCTCATACAGGACAAAGATTATGATATTTACCAGAGCACTATATCTTGCATTACACAACTAAAGAGAACACAATTTGCAAATATAGCTGGAAGAAGTTAAAAAAAAAAAATCTAACAACTTCATTCATATTAAAGTATAAACCAGGGCAAGAAGTATTACAACATTTAACATTGCCTTAAAAATATTCAAGAGATTCATTCATTCATTTATTCACCTATCAAACAAATATTTATTGAAGGCCAAATATGTGCACAGCCTTGTTCTGGTCACTGGTAATAAACTAGTAATATAAAACAAAGTCTCTGCCCTCATAGAACGAAACATTCAAATGAAGATGACAGACAAACTAATAAACAAGCATTTATTCAATAGAACCATAGGTAAGCAAAAATGATATGAAGCAAAAAGACCAGAGCAGGAAAGAAGAGAGTGACACAGAGGTCAGGAAAAGCCTAAGATATCCAAGTGGAAACAGTTGTATTTCCAAGCACAAAGAGTTGTATATGTGTGTCTGGAGTTCAGAGCATAGTTTCAGGATACATGTAAATTTGAGACCCATCAACATATAAATGGTACCTTAAGCCACTAGATTGGAAGAAATCACCAAAAAGGAAACTATATATAGAAAAGAGGTCCAAGGGACAAATGTGTGTTACTTTGATAAAATAAATGACATCTACAAAGCCAAGTAAATATGCATTAAGTGATATGGATGCTTACTGACTTACACGAATTCTCATCTCCAACAGAACACTGAATATAGGGAAATCAAACTTAGAACGGTAGCATGATATTCTGACACACTAGATAAATAATGCAACTGTTAATCTACAGACTCCCCATACCCATATCATGTAAGTAATAAATATACTACATCTCAGAATTATAAAATGTTTTCCAATTTTGTTTCCATGTCAATTTCCACCTTATCCCTAAATCTTATATAATGAATATTTATCATACTGACACAAGAAAATTCAAATTAACTCCCTTTCAGGAGGAAGGGTTCAGTTCTGTATAATTGAGCCTCTGGCCCAGTATCTTCTCAAAGATATTTTGAGAAGTGGTAGTATATAAACATGTCATTTCTAGGAATTTTTAAACTTCTTACTTGTCATGTTTATCCAATAATACTGTTCTTCTATACCTACTTTTTTTTTTTTTTTTTTTTTTAGGGGTACGCGGGCCTCTCACTGTTGTGGCCTCTCCCGTTGCGGAGCACAGGCTCCGGACGCGCAGGCTCAGCGGCCATGGCTCACAGGCCCAGCCGCTCCGTGGCACGTGGGATCTTCCCAGACCAGGGCACGAACCCACGTTCCCTGCATCGGCAGGCAGACTCCCAACCACTGCGCCACCAGGGAAGCCCAATATACCTACATTTTAATATCAATTCAAGATCTGGTTGAAGCTATTTCCCCTAGAATACTATTTTACATAAAAATCGACCTCACCAGAGGAAGTTGTAAAAAGTAGGAAAGCACTGTACAATTCTTATTCAGAAATGTTCGTGCCAGAAGTACATGTTCTGCTCCTTATAAACATATCCCCTTTGAACTGTATTTCCTTTAAATACGACCAAACTCTGCAAAGATGATTATAATAATTAATCTGTTTCATATATGAATTGGTTTGTACATATAAAATGCTTGTTTTTGGATGCTCCCTAGGTGTATCAAAGGAACGACATATTTTAACAATTGTAATCATCCCATCAGTCACCAGGTACCTGATAACGATGGCTTAATTCAGTTTAATTTTACCACAGGCAGAATCAAATAAATTTCTTGTTATGAAAATTATATTCACAACAATAAATCTTACTTTGGAGTGGAAATATTAAGCAACTTCTGAATGACCTGGGAGAAAAATAACAATATGAAGTATTTCATACCTGCTTTATGGCTGTTACTGTTATCACAAAGAATAATGGGAGTCCACTGGTAATTGGACTGGTAGGTGTATCAATCATAAGCTGGATTAAAAAACAGAGAAGGCAGAGTATATTTTATATTGTACACATATTGTGTATACTGTAATAACATCTAGAACCTCATAATTATTGGGAAATCTGAAAACATTATACAAAACATGTATCATGGTCCAGATGAAAAAATAACATGAGAGAGAGACTACGCAGTGAGTGTAGTTTAGTTCACAGTTTCACAAGTTCACTTTGATGGCTTTTACATGGGGTTAGCAGAATACCTAAATCTATTGCATACCCACAAATACTGCTAGGGTGGACTCAGTCTCTGCTTTCTTAACACAGAGTACTTAAGGTCTTCCTCGGTATTTGCCTTGGAGGGGAGCTATAGCTGCTCAGAATCTCAGTTCACATTTCTTTGCCCATCCTGAGAAATGCTGTAAAGTCTGTCAGTTTTTACCCTGGGATCCAGCATAAACTCACCACTTAGGGAGAGAAAACAAGAAATGGGACTAGGGAAAGGGTTTCTTTCTACAAGTGATTTTGTTACACCTAGCGGAGCCAGAAGGGTACAACTTGGAAAATGCTGCTGCAATTATCTAAATCATACAACTGAGGTTTCAATAAACTGCTGGAAAAGAAATATTTGTAGTAATTATATCTGGTTATTTAGAACATGGGTCTAACGATTTATTAATATTCCTTTACTCTGGGTAGGCCAATTAAATTTGTTCTACTCCACACACAAGCTGAATTCCTTATCTTAGCTAGTAATTTCACAAATGCATGTTACATGGACATAGTAAGTACAAATTTCTCATTTTTCCAACTAAACCAAGCTGAAGTTCTATTGATGAAAAAAAATCAGAAGTTCCTTTTCTGTTCATGAAGCAAAGCAATTTAAAAAAAAAGTTTCCTCAAGCTTTACAGTGACTACTTCACAAGTTTTTTTCTTTTGAAAGCCCAGGTTCTATGGAGAGAAAAGTTCAGAGTTTATACAAAAATTCAATGCCACACTGGAATACACTGCCAAGGTATTATCAGAAAAGAATAACCTCTTTAAAAGAAAATGACACTTATTTTAAATCCTGATTTATACTCAAGTTTCATAAGCTGTTCTCTTGATATTTTGACATTAGGAAAAAAAGCACAATGTGAAAATCAAGAAACTGTCAAATAGCTTATAATGAACATAGATTTAGGTTAAGAAAACAGTCTCCTGGAGAAAAATCAATATTCACGGGGATTCTTAAAAATTATAATTAAAAAAATTTTTAAATAAAAGTAAAATTTAAATTAAAAAAAAGAAAAGCCAAAGAAAGATTTACTTTGTACAAAGATGGTTCCATAGGCAGAAATGTGCCAAAAACATGTGCTGTATATTAAAAGCCAAAATATTTATGTCCGAGGCAGAACATCTGAAAGGATGATGTTATTTTCTTGGCTTTGATTATGATTATCAGCACCACAGCAATCAGTGATAAAACAAAATACAATTAATCTTAAAATTCACTGGCTATTTTTCAGACATCTTGATGTGGTTTAAATCATTGTATTCAGTGAATACAGTGGGGAAGCTCTGCAAAAAAAAAAAATGGTCCCACAGTCAAATGATTTAGAATGCAATATAACTTTTCCCTGAAGATATATTTTTAGAACCCATGTCTACAAACTTAACAATTTATGAAGTGATAAAGCTTACCTGAACCAAAAATATAATAAGAAAATAAAAGTTTGCCACTCTTCTGAATTGTTCAAATAAATTTTTTGGAACAAAATTCCACACAGTATACTAAAAAAAAACAAAGGAAAAAAAAAAGAAAAAAAAAGATCAATAAGTTAATATTTTAAAATAATATATACTATACACATATAATAACAAGAAAAGTAGTATCAGATTTACTAAGCCCTTAGACAAATTCATGTAACTCTCAATGCTACAAAAACTATCTGGTTTTTAGAGTTTCAGGGCTTTTATTCTATTTTTTTTCTGTCTTTTACTATTTATTGGCAATTTTAGTATAATTTTTAAAAATGAGATAAACTGGAACCCATCAATTTTGCTATTAAATTCTTAGTTTTTTAGAAGTTGGAGATGGCAGATCTAAAATAATATTTTAATAACTGTTTTGGTTTTTGGTTACACAAGACTGAACCTAATGCTGAAGATGAATTAAGAGTTGATAGAAATGCTAACACTGGATTCAATTTATTTTAAATTTTATTAAATTTATATTATATTTATTTTATATTTTATTTATTCAGAAACAGAGGCAATGGTATAATTATTCAGTTATTCCATTAAGCATGGGATATGGAAAAATAAACTAGAATGTGAAAAAGATTAAAAATTACTTTAGGTAAGTGATCACTGGTATAACCATCAAGAAAATCTCATAAAGGATATGAAAGTCTGTCACAGTGTCAATTTTTAAAGACAGCAGAGTATAATGGTTACGAACATAGATGGTAAAGGGTTAAACTGCTGTGGCCTAAATCCTAATCCAAGGTCATTTAGTCACCTTGGACCTAATCTCTTTGTACTTCACTTTGTGCCTCTATAAAATGAGGACAATAATAACAATCATACTGTATAGGGTTGTTATAAAAATTAAATGAGCTAATATATTTATGAAGCACTTACAACAGACCCTGGCTCATATTAACTGCTGTGTGTCTGTTGTTGTATTATTCATCAGTTTATAAGCCTATAATGCTATATTATGGGGGCAGGGTAATATCGTACAAATTTTACTTGTGCCACTCACTATTCACAACACAACTTTATGCATGAAACAGGGAAACACTTCACAGCACTGTTACTTTACCCTATGTCCATTCTCTCAGTAGAATCTAAGATCCCTAGAGACATTGTTTTATTTACTGCTCTATTGCAGTTACACTAGAGCACACAGCTAGAGATCAAAACTTTAGCAGAATAGATAAGTAAATAAATATGCTTGGAAAAAGAATTTTTTTTCCAGATAATTCTCCTGATGTCAGGCAATAACCATTGGTCAATTCAACTACTGACCAATAACCATTGGTCAATTCAACTATTGACCAATTACCATTGGTCAATTCAACTACTGACCAATAACCATTGGTCAATTCAACCACTGACCAATTCAAGATTTTCTCCGGTGCAATGAAAGACAGTTCTAATTTCTGAATTTTGGTACGTCAGAAATTTGCTTCTTAATCAGTTTTTTTTTTTTTTTTTTTGGGGCTGCGCTGTGTGGCTTGCAGGATCTTAGTTCCCTGACTAGGATTGAACCTGCGCCCTTGGCAGTAAGAGAGGAATCCTAACCACTGGACCGCCAGGAAATTCCCTTAATCAGTTTTTTAAGACCTCAAACATCCTGTCACATATGAACAATTTTATAAATACGGTTAGGTTCCCAGAAGAGCCCACAAAAGCCTATTTGACCCAAGGGTATATAAAGAATAGTACAATGCCTAACACCTTCCTTTCTTAGGTGAAATTATATTTTCAGTTCTAATCTGGGATACCTGAAACATATTTACCTGTGGTAGTGGTAGCACCAGTGGCTCTAGAATCTGGGATTGGGAACTATGTTCAAGGCTCTAGAGAGAAGAGAGGTAGAGACTTCCTGGAACCAGAAGAAGTCAGTGCTCAATGTGTGCATATGAGGTGGTAATTCTGGGTCAAACCATTGCCAGTTGATCTTCATTGGGGTAAAAAGGCAGTTGTCCCTACCGGGGTCATAGTATTTCCATGCAACTTCCTCAGCACCAGATCAAATGTATAAAACTTTATAGGAATTAACTTGACGATGTTCTATGTTTACATCAATCTATATAATAGTGACAATATATTTTATCTTTCAGAATCTTGAAAAGAGCAACTATATAAGTTGGTAATAAAGTAAATTAATTGGTTTCAGGATGCTCTCTTTGGCTAGCTCAATAATACAATGGAAAAAGTGAGAATACATAAAAATTTCTTAAGAAAGCTAGCTTACAAATGTTAGGAATTATTGTTTTCGGGTTTTCTGAAATACAAACATTAATAGATTGAATAAGTCTAAATTCTGCATTTGTCCTGTCACACATAGAGGAGGCACTCTAGTAGAATAATATTAAGACACATGAAAAAACTTCTAAGAAAAATAATTCATTATGCTTTAAAATTATTTTAATTATTATGTAATAACAGTCAAGAAAAATGAACTAGAAGTATACCTTCTCTATAGCTATGTATACAACTTTATCATTGACTTTTTTTCCTCCTAAGGTCTGACATTAGTAAGAAAACAAAAACATGGTTATAAAATTAAACCTTCTGCAAGGAAATTTTTTTTTTAACGTCTTTACTGGAATATAATTGCTTTACAATAGTGTGTTAGTTTCTGCTGTATAACAAAGTGAATCAGCTATACATATACATGTATCCCCATATCCACTCCCTCTTGTGTCTCCCTCCCACCCTCCCTATCCCACCCCTCTAGATGGACACAAAGCATAGAGCTGATCTCCATGTGCTATGTGGCTCCTTCCCATTAGCTATCTATTTTACATTTGGTAGAGTATATATGTCCATGCCACTCTCTCACTTCGTCCCAGCTTACCCTTCCCCCTCCCCGTGTCCACAAGTCCATTCTCTACGTCTGCGTCTTTATTCCTGTCCTGTCCCTAGGTTCTTCAGAACCACATTTTTTTTTTTAGATTCCGTATATATGTGTTAGCATACGGTATTTGTTTTTCTCTGACTTACTTCACTCTGTATGACAGACTCTAGGTCCATCCACCTCACTACAAATAACTCAATTTCGTTTCTTTTTATGGCTGAGTAATATTCCACTGTATATATGTGCCACATCTTCTTTACCCATTCATCTGTCAGTGGACACTTAGGTTGCTTCCATGTCCTGGCTAGTGTAAACAGAGCTGCAATGAACACTGTGGTACAAGACTCTTTTTGAATTATGGTTTTCTCAGGGTATATTGCAAGGAAATTTAAATTTAAGATAAGGAAGTTACTATAGCAAATTAAATTAAAGACATATCATGCATCTACAATGTGTAAGACACACTATAAGAGGAACAAAGAGAAGTTTAATTTAAATAGAGTAGATTAAGAACAATATATCAATAGCTATATTCAAAGATAAAGTAAAAGAAGGAATAGACAAAGAATTCAATGGGAAGGCAATTCAAGAAGTCAATTAGAAAGAAAAATTTAATGAAGGAGGTCACATTTGACACAGGCTTTAAGAGAGGAACACTCAGCAGGCTGAAAATAGGGGGCAAACAGAGGGAGAACATTTCAGGAAGGAAAGACAGAATGAACAAAGGCAGCGAGGAGGGAAGTTGATCGTGGCTTTGTGGTATAGAAGATATACAGTCTGAAAGGAGTTTAGGGAAATAATAGGGGAGTAGAAAGGTAGTAAAAAGGGAACAGTGAGAAGCCAGCCTCATTTGTGGTCAGGAAAAAAAAAAAGACACTGTCTATATAAATATCTACATTCTTGAAATTGTGGTCAAAAACATGAAATATACATTCTCTGCAAAAACATATAACCTACTTTTAAAAAACTGCAGTTATCAATACAAAATCATAGCAAAGGCACAGTGGTAGGGAAGTTCAACATGAATTCATGGAATAGCAGGTAATCTGGTTTGGAAGTTTAAAAAAGTGGTAATGGAATAATGAGGAAGTAATAAGGGAATAATGAGAAAGTCTCCAAATGTGTGAAAAAAGGGCAATGTTTATTTAAATATCTACATTTTTGAAACTGTGGTCAAAAACATTAAACTTCATACTGCTGCATATGAAAAGTCATAAAGATAGTTAATCTCAGAAGTTCTCCAGGACACTCAGCTTCCAGTATTGGCAGACTGTGAACTCCTAGCAGATAAGAATTATGAAAACTAGATTAAAACAAACTATTTAAAATTCTGGAACATGTCCAAAATATAGACAGAAACTGGAAGAGAGTTTAATTTCAAAAAAATTACAAATGGAAGGAATATGAATGATAAACTATGGCTTCTTAGTCTGGAGATAATATCCAACTCTCACAGCTAGAGCAGCCAAACAGTGGGGGAAAACTACCCCCTTATCAACAAAATATCACAGAGATTTAGAGTTCAGGGCTAGAAAAGTGGCTGGAAATTGATGGGAAAATACTGATCGCGAAACCATGCAAGGAAAATTACCCAAATTCAGGACATAAACTATCCAAACCTAGGCTGACAGCTAAACTATGCACTAAAAAGGAAATGAACTAATGAAACTGATACTTGCAACAACAAGGATGAATCTCAAGAGTACTGTGTTAAGTGAAAAGAAGTCAGACACAAAAGACTCCTACTGTATGATTGTATTCATATGACATTCTGGAAGAGACAAAACTATAGTTAAAGAAAGCAGATCAGCTGCTAGTGCTAAAGGTGAGGAGGAGGGGGACTGGTTACTAACTTTCTGGAGTGACAAATATATTCTGTATCTTGATGACAGCGGTCACATGTTACACATTTGTCAAAACTTATCAAATTATACACTTAAAATTAGTGAATTTTATTGTATATAAATTATACCCAGTGTTTTAAAAACTTTTTTCAAGAAGGACTTTTATTTCTTGCATCACTTACTAAGAACTGTATCATTAATCTAAAGCTCCTCTATTACCCTAGATTCTGGTATTTCCCCTTCCTGCCCTCTGCTTTAGAACCACTGTCCAAAATGAGATGTCAGTAATGTGTGTGTTGCATATGTAAATAATGTAAAGCCTGGAAAAAAGGAACAGGGAAAAGGAACCATTGGCCTAAAACAACATCTTCAAGAAAAATGAGATCAGGATTAGAGAGAAAATATTAGTCGCCCTGGAAGAGAGGGAAGGAGCAATACAAAGATGCTTCTTAAGGTGGTCTATTAAGCAATAGCTATGCTCAGAGAGAACCTTACCCTCAGTTTCTGACTCACATCCTCTATAACTGCACTGTCCAATAAGGTAGCCACTAGTCACATGTGGCTACTGACAATTAAAAAAAATTAAAATTAAATTAAAAGTTAAGTTCCTCAGTTACATTACCACATTTCAAGGCCTAAACAGCCCTATGTGGCTAATGGCTATCATATTAGACAGCATGGAAAACATTTCCATCATGAGAGAAGAGTCTATCAGATAGTCTATTTTGAAATTGAAGATTATAGAATAATGCTAAGACATCTTAAAAATGCCATAGGAAAAACTGAACCAAGGAAAAATATGTAAAAGTGAAGTGGTTCCTTGGTACTATAAAATGTTTATAGAAGAATGATAAAACTGGAGGAAGTGAGGCTTTAAAGTCACACAGAACTGAGTTCAAACTCCGATCTCATCCCTGGGTAAATTACTTCCCTGCACTTCAATTGAAAAAACTGATATAAAATGAGTATAACAACACTTTGTTAAAGCTATCTTAAAGTTGTTTTAAGAATTAAATAATATGAGAAGTACCTAATACAGTGTCTGGCACATGGTATAAATATTAGTTCCTTAGTTTAATTGCAACTAAGGGTAATTTTGGGCGTACTGGCCACCTGATATTAGCAACCAGAAACTTTTTATTTTACAGTTCACAATTTTTGTTAAGATAAATCTACCAACCACCATTTCCTTGAATTTTTAAGGATATAAATACAAACAAATCACCTTTTAAAACAAAATAGTACATAACCCACAGTTTTAGTAATAAAAGTGTTAATTCTTACCTTAGATGAAATGATTCGGTTATCTATAAATTTCTGAGGTGTGTAAAGGCCATACTGAGGAAACCTGTTGGCTATGTAAATAGTTCTTGTGTCACTTTGATGTGGTGGGTCAAAACCCTAAGGCCAAGCAAAAGAAAAATAATGGACAACAAGGTTAGCTGTTATGATTCTTTACTGCTGGTTCTATTTAACTGATCATATTACACATATTATTACTGGCCTTGACCTGCATATAGGCTCAATCTATTTAATTATCAGAAGAGTTAAGCCATATATTTTTTCTTTCAAAGTAAACAGGTACATTTTCTTCAGATATAAACTAACTAGGTAATAACCTCTGGTAATGAAAAATAGTCCATACTCTGTCAGAAATGCTACCACAAGAAGACCTACAGAAGCACTTGAAGACAAGGCTTCTTTCCTTCCCTTTCATTCCTGGGGTTCCTTGCTTTTCTCTTAGGATAGATTCCTAGCCAGTGATATGGAAGTCCTGTGTAGCTAAGGCCTAGTCAGCACCTACCATATCTAAGGACAAAGGCTTACATTTTATTTTACACCCAGATCAACTCGGTTTCAAAGGGCTTTGTTCCCAGAGGACATAAAATGTATTGGATAGCCCAGATAAAATGTATTGGATAGCCCATTCCATACAAGCATTTCTTTGCGCTAGTTACATTATCAATGTACTCCCTGAAATATGGATATATGCTATAATTCTGGCCTCAAATTTAGAAGACCCTCAATTAAGGTACATTTAGGAATGATCTCTAGTGGAAAAGTTTGCCCTGGTGACAAGAATACTGATACTTTATTCCTACAGCATTGTACTCTTTTCCAGAGGGGCAAGTGAATCTTTAAGACTCCTTTGATAGATACCGGCATCCCTGTAAAATTTCCACTAAGCACAGACACAAATAGTGGAAATTCCCATATTACCTAGAGGGATGTTTTGTTTAGCACATCAGAATATTAGAAGTGCTATATATGGGTTTCAACTGCTGTTATTCATGGTTTTAAACAATTTATTTTGTGATCTTAGAAACAGCTAGTACAGAACTGTGCAAATTAAATATATTTGTATACTCCATTAAAAAATGAAGTTTTATCTTATTTGTTTATGCTACTTAAAGTGATGACCACATTTTGTTGATGTGCCATTATGTATCCGATTTCAAAATCAGTTTAAGGATAAAATGTGGCACACATGTTTATTTTCCTCATAAATTTTCTCTTAAACATTTCACAACTGTGCCCTGTCACAACTCATGGGAGAAAGAGGGCAGGTTCCAAAATCAGAGTCAGAACTCACTGCTCTATCTGGAATATCATAATCATTTAAAAGATATATACCATTTATTCAATCAATAACTATTTACTGAGTTTAAGCACTATGTTAAGCCATGAAGGATTATGTGATTTGTTACATACTCGAGCATATCATAACATGCTCCAACTCAATAAATAAATCAATGAACAAACAGTTTGAATGCTACTGCTGTAGTCTATGGATGTGTTTTTCAAAGATGGTCCACAGAAGTTTGCCTGTAACGTTCATAAAATAACAAAAGGGACACACAGGTAACGGAAGCATTAGACTCCATGAAGCATATTTATTCTGTATCCACTCTGTAACCATGTTAACATAACACTATACGCCATGCATGTAAACTTCTGAGACAAAGAAAAATAAAGTAAACTTGAGGGTTTGAAAGAGTATACAAATCTTTAAGAAGATGTCAAGACAACTGAGACTGAGAACCACTGATATAAAATTTTATTTTATTTTTTGCTAAATCCCACCAAGATTATTACTATGTACATCTAAAGTTAAGAAACAAAAAATAGGGACTTCCCTGGTAGTCCAGAGGTAAAGAATCCGCCTTACAATCCAGGGGACATGGGTTCACTCCCTGGTCAGGGAACTAACATCCCTCATGTCGCAGGGCAGCTAAGCCCATGTGCCACAACTACTGAGCTTGTGTGCCTCAACTAGAGAGCCTGTGTGCCGCAAACTACAGAGCCCACGCGCGCTGGAACCCGCATGCCACAACTACAGAGCCCACATACCTTGGAGCCTGTGCGCCACAACCAGAGAAGAAAAAACCCTGCATGGCACAACTAAAGAGAAGCCCGCGCTGCAACGAAGAGCCCGTGCACCACAATGAAAGATCCAACGCAGCCAAAAATAAATAAAATAATAAATCTCTAAAAAAAAAAGAAACAAAACAAATGCCCTCCCCCAAAATATACTGATGTTTACATTATAACCTCTCATTCATTACTAGAATTAATATACTATATACATAAATGCGTGCACTTTACAGGAAGCAAATGCTCATCATTCTCCATCCCTCTCTCCTGGATGAACCAGTGACCACATACTAAAGTTTTGGAACTCCTGAGATTTCTACAATTATTTCAAGGAGATATTTTGAGATGTTCCAAGAATAAAATCAGTTTTAAATTAAATTGAATTTTAAATTCAGCATCGCCATATTCCAAGAAATCATAATTTAAAATAAGATGACAATACCAAAAGGAGAATAATGATAGTATGTTTTTCCTTATTCCCAAAGATGCTATAACATCCACTTAAGTATTTTGAGTTGTTTTTCCAGTGATTAATTAAAATGACCTTATCCAATCATGTTATAATCAATGGCATGTATATACATGTGGCTGTGGGTATTTTTTTACACACACAAAATAGTTAAATTTTATATTTGTGACTGCGGTATAAGTACAGCTAAGCGTCTCTCATGGAAATTAAAGCTATAACTTCAATTCATTAGCATCAACTTCTTTGCCACAAATTCAAGTAGCCATGAACTAAAAAGAACAAAACTGTCCAAAAATGAGAAAAGTGACTTAGGGCAGGTCTGTGAATCTCTGAAATTGTACGCAAATTTGCATATCTGTGCATTAAAAAATTTTTTTTAAAATTTTGGCCATGCCACACGGCTTGTGGGATCTCAGTTCCCTGACCAGGGACCGGACCTGGGTCACAGCAGTGAAAGGGCCAAATCCTAACCACTAGATCACCAGGGAACTCCCATACATGCATTTTGCTGACGACAGAATAGTTTTCCTCAGATTCTGATGACATAAAAAAAGTTAGAACCACTTATCTAAGGTCTTGCTTTTATAATCAGTTCCCCACCTCAATATTCCATATTTTAAAAATGACACAGAGGGGAATTCCCTGGCAGTCCAGTGGTTAGGACTCTGCGCTTTCACTGCCAAGGGCCTGGGTTCAATCCCTGGCTAGGGAACTAACATCCCACAAGCCGTGTGGTGTGGCCAAAAAATAAAATAAAATTAAATTGGAAAAAAAAAAAAAAAAAAGGAACTTAAAAAAATGACACAGAGAATTGTTGCTTCAATAACACCTCTACTTTAACAGGAATCAAAACAAACAGAGTTTATCAAAATTAATTGTATAATTATACCATAAATGTGAAGTTCAAGTATAGTTTCATGCTATTTCTAACAAGCATTATCAGCAATTCTATGCTACTGTACAATCCGAACTCCCTAATCACTAGGCTACGGCTACACATCAGGGTTCAGAAACCTCTGGTATGTATTACACTTTCAGCCCAGACTACCCATTCACACCCTGAACCCCTGGATGGCTTGCTCCTTTCTTCTATGGTTTCATCTTGTCCTGGATAAAGGAACTGAGATACATTAATGCTATTCTAGCCACCCTGGTTTTATTTTTATTTTTTAACATTTATTTATTTGGCTGTACCAGGTCTTAGCTACAGCACACAAGGATCTTTAGTTGCGGCATGCGAAACTCTTAGCTGCGGCATGTGGGATCTAGTTCTCTGACTGAGATTAAACCTGGACCCCCTGCATTGGGAGCACAGAGTCTTAGCCACTGGACCACCAGGGAAGTCCCCATCCTGATTTTATTTTAATGCCTGCTAAAAAGTACAGCTGACCCTTGAACAACTCCAGGGTTAGAGGAGTCGACCCTCCACACAGTCAAAAATCTGAGTATAACTTCAGAGTTGGCCCTCTGCATCCTCAGATTCAGCCCTATAGTACTGTTGTATTTACTATTGAGAAATCCACATATAGGGGGACCTGCACAGTTCAAACCCATGTTGTTCAAGGGTCAACTGTATAGGCTTTTGGAAGCACATAAATTTAAACTATTTAAAAATAACAACTCTCATTAACTCTAAAAAAGTATGAAATTAAAAACCTCTTTTCTGTCTGGATTTACGAGCATATGTAAAAACCACAGGTACTTTTAAAAAAAGTGGATCTGGGCTTCCCTGGTGGCGCAGTGGTTGGGAATCTGCTGGCCAATGCGGGGGACACGGGTTCGCCCTGGTCTGGGAGGATCTCACATGCTGCGGAGCAACTAGGCCCATGCAGGACAGCTGCTGGGCGTGTGCTCTGGAGCCCACGAGCCACAACTACTGAAGCCCGCGTGCCTGGAGCCCATGCCCCGCAGCAAGAGAAGTCACCGCAATGAGAGGACTGCGCGCCATGGTGGGGAATTGGCCCCCCACTCACTGCAACTAGAGAAAGCCCAAGCGCAGCAACAAAGACCCAATGCAGCCAAAAATAAATAAATAAAAGAAATTTAAAAAAAAAAAGTGGATGAGCATTTAAGGTGGAAAAAAATTCCCATGATGGCATTCAAGGAAAGAACTGAAAACACATGGGACTGATTTGAAAAAGACTCCTTTTGTAACAGTAAACTGATGAAACCTAGGGAAGCCAAACCAGAAAACAGCTTATAATTTTTAGATGTTGGTCTCTGGCACAAAGCAGTACTTAGAAATGACTCATAACATTTTATATTTTCATACCAAATATACCAGCCTCTGTACTATTCTTAAAATCCCGAAGATTTTATGAAAAATACGAGCATTACAAATAAGAGCTAAGAAGAAACTAAAACTACAGTCCTGTAATTAAATATTGCCACACTTCTTTAACATAACTAAGAAAACATTTTTAGAGTTCAGTGATTAAATTTGTACATTTAATCATTCCTATGTGTGATCTACTTCCTCCATAATAGAAAGAAAGAAGCTACAAAACAAACCAAAAACCATGAAAAACAACATAAAAAGAAGCATTCAAAACTGCAA